TTTTTCTTTGTGTGTGTGTGTGTGTGTGTGTGTGTGTGTGTGTGTGTGTGTGTTTTGGTTTTGTTGTTGTTTTGTTTGTTTGCTTATGGCTTTGGTGTCATACATAAGAAACCATTGCCAAATCCAAGCTCATGAAGATTTACATAACCCTATGTTTTCCTCTAAGATTTTTTCTATAAAGTCTTCAATCTGTTTTGAGTTAATTTTTGTATATAGCGCAAGATAGGGATCCAACTTCATTGCTTTGCATGTGGCTACCCAGTTGTCCCAGTACCATTTGTTGAACAAACTATTCTTTCCCTATTGAATAGTCATGGCACCCTTGTCAAAAAATAATTGGTCACAGATGTATGGCTTTATTTCTGTACTTTTATTTTAACTTGATCTATATGTTTATACTCATGCCAGTACTAACCTTTTTCAATTACTATAATTTTGTGGTAAGTGTCCAAATTAGGAAGTATGAATTACTCACTTTTTATTTTTTGAATCCAGAGTTCCTAGCAATTCGTATGTGGAGAGACACTCCACATTTTGTGTTTTTTCCAGCTTTCCTTCTTTCATTTGCTTTTCAGCCTTGTTCTATTTCTTTTCTGAAATATATGTTCAACTCCAAGCTCATTTTATGAGGCCAGCATTACCCTGATACCAAAGCCAGATAAGGGCACTACAAGAAAAGAAAACTACAAGCCAATATCCCTGATGAATGTAGAGAAAAAATTCTCAACAAGGTACTATCAAACCAAATTTAACAGCACATTAAATGATCATAATACCACATGTTCCAGTAGTTCCACATCTGGATATTTGCCCAAAGAAAATGAAAACACCTTATTCCAAAAGATACCTGTGTCCCTATGTTTATTGAATTATTTGAAAGATGTGAAAGCAACCTAAGTGTCCCTCTATAAATAAATAGGTAAAAAAGATATGATGTGTGTATATATATACACATTGGAATATTACTCTGAATTTTAAAAGAATGAAATCTTGCCATTTGTGACAACATGTCAACTCTACTTCAATTAAGAAGAAAGGATCATATACCACAATCAAGTGGAATTCATTCCCAGATGCAAGGATGGTGCAGTCTATGCAAATCAATAAATATGACACATCATTTTAATACAATGAAAAATAAGCATCAAGTGGTCATATCAATAGATCCAGATAAGGCATTTAAGAGAATTCAACATCCTTTCATGATAAAAATTCTCAAGAAATTGATACAAGAGGAACATATCTCGACATATTAAAGGCCAAACATGACAAGCCCACAGCTAACATACTGAATGGTAAAAGGTTGAAAGCTTTTCCTGTAATATCAGGAATAAAACAGAAGATGCCCAATATCACCATTCCTATGTAACATGGGTAGAATTCTTAGCCTGAGCAGTCAGGCAAGAGAAAGAAAGAAAAGGCATCCAGATCAGAAGGGAAGAAGTAAAATTGTCTATTTGTAGATGACACAATCTTATATACTGAAAATCCTAAAAATCTCACCGAAAATCTTTTATAAAAGCAATCTGGATATAACGAGGGAATTTGGCTTACTTTATTGTATTAATTATCTGTTGCTGTATAACAAATCATCCAAAACTTGGTGACTTAGAAAAACAAACATTATCTGACAGTTTCTGTGGGTCAGAAATTTAGGAGCAGGTTAACTGTGTGGTTTTGGTTTAGGCTTTCCCATGAAGTTTCTCTCAGATTGCTAGTCTTTAGTCATATGAAGGTATTTTAATTGGGATTGGAGGATTTGCTTCTAAAATGGCTCACTCAAATGGCTATGGATAAGTGCCTCATTTCCTTGGTAAGTGAGCCTTTCCAAGGAGCATCTTCAAAATCTCTATGACTTTGCAGCTAGCTTCGACCATGATAGAGAATACGGAGGAAGTCACAGTGCCTTTTATGACCTAGTCATGCATTGTCATTTCTGCCAGACTTTTTGGTAGAAACAAATTACTAAGCGTGGCCACAATCAAGGAGAGGGAAATCAGGCTTCCCCTTTTGAAAGGAGGGGTATCAACTTGTATCACTGACTGATCAAGTGGAGGTAAGCAGTGGAAGAGACTCAGAATACCTCTTGACAGTGGCTTCTTGGAACTCTTTAGTAAATTGTTCATGGTGTCTCAAGTTTGGTATTATTTAGAAGACCAAGTCTTAAGACTTGGGCTATTATTGAGACATATATTTACATAACATTGTTTTATTCTTTCCACTTAGAAAGTCTCAAAGTTCATGCACTGGTAGGAAAACATGATAAAATTAATTAAAAATATGTGAATAATCCTTTTTTTTTTTTTTAGGTTTGTTTTGGATACTGTTTGAAATAAAGCAATTATCAATCAGGCTTAAGAAAAAAGTTTTATTTCAGTTGCTGAGGATTAGGAAGAGGCTAATGTCAGCTGGTCAAAAGTATGAATTATGCACTGTCTTTAGAACATCAATTTGGGGATAGCTTTTAATTTTGATATAATTTTAAGCTTAGAGAAAAAATACAAGAATAGTATACAGAACTCCTGAATAATTTTCAACAATTGTTTGTTTTCTGACATTTGCCTAACCATTTTTTTCTCCTAATACCTAAAAGTCAGCCTAAAACCATAGGAACATGTCTCAACATATTAAAGGCATGGTGCCACTCAGGCACCCCTATTGCTAAGTAGTACTGTATTTTATCAATAAACTGCAGTTTGTTTATCCATTTTCTTAGTGGTGAACTACTGGGTTTCATCTTTGGAGTATCATGAAGAAGGCTGCTATGAACATTCTTGCATAAGGTTTCTGTCTATATATGTTTTTATTTCTTTTGGATAAATAACTAGAGGTGAAATTCTTGCATCAAACCTATGGGTATACGTTTAACCTTAAAGTGTCAGAACTCTATTTTACATTTCCACCAACAATTTAAGTGAGTTTCTCAGTTGATTCATATCCTTTCCAGTGTTGGATGTTGATAGTCTTCTTAATCTTAGCCATTATTTTGGGTATGAAATGGTCTGTCATAGTAGTTTTAATCTTTTTTTTTTATATATATTTTATTTTTAGGGGTACCTGGGTAGCTCAGTTGATTAAGCATCTGCCTTTGGCTCAGGTCATGATCCCAGGGACCTGGGATTGGCCCGAGTGGGGCTCCCTGCTGAGGAGGATGTCTGCTTCTCCCTCTCCCTCTGCCCCTCCACCTCCCTCATGTTCTCTCTCTCTGTTCTCTCTCTTTCAAATAAATAAAATCTTTAAAAAGTTTTTATTCTTAAGTAATCTCTAAACCCAGTGTTGGGGCTCAAACTTATAACCCTGAGATCAAGAGTTACATGCTCTACTGACTGAGCCAGCCAACAGCACCTTGGTTTTAATCTTTATTATCCTGATTACAAATGCTGTTGAGCATCTTTTCATGTGTTTATTAACCATTCACATATCTTCCTTTATGAAGTGTCCATTCATATTTTTTGCCCATTTTTTTTTATTGGATTGTTTGCTTTATATTTGTTGAGTTGTTGGAGTTCTTTATATATTCAATGTACAAGTCTTTGCCAGACACATCTTTTATGAATACTTTCTCCCAGTCTGTGGCATGCATATTTACTCTTAATTATATCTTTTGATGAGTGGAAGTTTTTAATTTTTATGTAGTATAATTTACTTATTCTGGTAAAAGTTTTGTAATTGTACCTTTTACAGTTAGGTCTGTAATCCACTTGAAACTAGAATTTTCATGGTGTGAAGTATGGATCAAGGTTCATTTGTTTTCCATATGGGTATCCAGTTTTTCCAGCAGTGTTTGTTAAAAAGATTTTTCTTTTCCCCATTGATTGCTTTGTTACCTTTGTTGAAAATCAAATGACTGGAAAATATCTTTCTTGGCTTTCTAGTTTGTTCCATTGGTCTATGTGGAATTGTGTATACTAATATACTCTGGAAAACTACATAAAGTGCTTATTAGATATTGGCATACATAGGATAAACCTTTCCTATACATGTTTTGCTAGCATTGGAGAGCTTTCTTATAATCAACTTCTAGCTAATGAATGACATTTGGAGGCTTTTCAGCATGATTCTCTACATACTCCTATGGTACTTTTCCCCGTCATGTAAGGTTGATGTTCACTTTTAATTCTTTTATATTTATTTTTAACTATGAGAAAGCTCATTTAGTGCAGAATTCTGAGAGTAGGAATAACAAAAATATTTAGACACCTTTTTTTTTTTAAGGTAAACGTAATTATCTTACAAAGATCTAGGCAGAACTTCATCACAGTGTCCACCAAGAGATGCCTTGGGTCAGTGCAGTGAGAAGGAGAAGAGGAGAAGATGTAACCACATACAAAATGTAATTTAGAGCCTTGCCCATCATATCAGTATCTCTGGAATAAGTGCCAGTCCTATTCAAATATTTATTAACACTGTGCTGAATGATACAGAATTTTACCCTTGGGGAGTTTGCCAGTGTAGCTGAAGAAATTAAAAAATTCAAATAAACATAATACAAAGTAATATGTGATAATGTTTGCATTAAGGTCATTGATAAAATTTAAAATATTTTTATTATAGTTGTTTGTGTTGTGGACCTGAATCATTATTCTGAATTATAATTTTAAGTTTTAGGTTAATGTAATTACAATAGGGTTTTGTTTTGGTTTTTTTAACCTATTCAAATGTCCAGCTGGAAATTTGAAAATTTAGACTATTTATTGTATCTTCTTGGTGCATTATAGGATATCCTGTGATGACCTTTTTCCACTAAATGCCAGTAATCATCTTAATCTTTTTGACAACTAAAAAACATTCCCTTCAATTTTAACAATGTTCCCAGACTTTAACTTGCTTGTTGAAAACTAATGCTTTTAGATGTGTGAAAGGTAAGGAAATTAAGTACTACGGAAAGAAATAATTATGCAACTTATTTGTAATTTTGCAGTGACTAAATTTTATTAAAGTGGATAATTTGAAGCTTTAGAAATTAAGATGGCTATATTGTATGTTCTTATTTCTCCTAGTAAAATGAATGAAAATAAACCTGGTGCCTCACAGAATCTTGGTAAGTAAAATATTTAAAACATTTTCAAAGCTAATTTAAAATATTAAGATATTTTACTCTTGCTTTTTTATTACAATAAAACTTTTTGGAATGTTGACGGAAGGGGCACCTAGGTGGGTCAGTGGTTGAGCTTCTGCCTTTGGTTCAGGTCCTGATCCCAAGGTCCTGGGATCGAGTACCACATCAGGCTCCCTGTGGTGAGCCTGCTTCTTCCTCTGCCTATGTCTCTGCCTCTCTCTGTCTCTCTCATGAACAAGTAAAATCTTTAAAAAAAAAAAAATGCTGACTCAAAAAGTAGGAATGAGTTCCCTGATCCATGCTTTGTTCATACATCTGTATACAAAAGTATAATATTATGTATATTCATTTCAACAAAAATCTGTTGTAAGAGGACAGTTTGCCAATTTTTTTTGTATCCTCTATATGTATTTTTCAGATTTGCTTTGTATCTGAATAAAACAGCATTCTTTATTTAATAAACAATTTTTTCATCTTTTTGTATGACTTTCTTACATAAGGAAAAATGCAGGTGAGACCATTTTAAACACAAAACATAATATGAAAAGGAAAACTTATCTGAAGGTGCTCATAACAATATCAAATAGATTCAGAGATCTTTGTCTTTGTTGATTTCTTCATTTATAGTTTGTACAGTATATGTTAATTTGCTAACATGGAATGTGAGAAATTTAAATTCTTATTTTATACTCTTCTGCCACTACTCCCCTCATCTATCCTTTTTAAGATTTATTTTTTTATTCCTTCACAAATTAAAATATTACACTTAAAACTATCTTAACCTTCACTGATAGAGAATTATCTGTTAACTCTTTATCATCTCTCCATCATACTGGATGAGGAAATTTGTGCTCTTACTTCTCCCTCTGCTTTGCTTTTCTGCTTTTACCTACCAACGTCTGTCAACTGTGCTAATTGTTCTGAAACTTAGTAATTCATGGACTACCTTCATATATTTGTGGGCTGCAAACACTACCTTTACTGTTATTTACTTAATATTTTACCTAAGATTGGCTCAATTTTTTACTTATATGAATGTGTTTATATCATTATTTTAATACAACCAGTATGATTTGCCATAGTTAAAAGGTGATCTTAATATAATGAAGTCAGAACAATGTTACTGAATTTTAAATATTAAATTTAAAAAACAACTAAGTGCAAATACAAACAAAAGCAGTCTACTTATAAAAGCATGTCTGTCTATTCTGTATCCAGTGTCTCCATATACTGGGTGAGGGGAGGAAGGGAACAAATGGAAAAGCTGCTGGTCCACAGCATAATAGCAAATGCAGCTCCATCCAGCGCTCATCATGAGTACTTCTGTTCTTCTGTTCTGTAGTCTCAGCTAATTCATTATATTCCTTTTCCTCTTGGTAGTTGCATGTACACTAGACGATCTACAGAACTAGAACTAAAAATATAAGCACTGGAGATGAAGGAATTAAGATGAGAGCTGCTGGTATAAGATGTCCAGTAAACAAATGGCAATTTGCTGGAGTTGATGTGGTCAGAAAGAAAGGGAGTTGAAATCTTTTGAAAGATTGACGAAAGGGCTTTTGTTTGTGGCTTATCTTATTAACCTGTAGTGAGGGAGGGCAAATATAGAGGAGGTAATTTACAACATTAAATATTATTAGCTCATGACGTTTTTTTCCAGTCCTGGAATCATTTTGTGAGTAGCTTGTTAACGAACATACCATTTCATGTATAACGTCCATTCTTGATTACTTGTATTAGTTAAAGGTAAATAAGACTAACTGCTAAATAGGTAAATGCTGAGGTCTTACTGGTTTAGCACAACAAAAGTTTATTACTTCCTTATGTTACTATTCAGTGTGTGGTTTGGTTAGGGGAGTTGGAATAGATGGGGAGTTTCTGCTCCATGCAGTCACTTAGAGATTCAAGCTCCTTTCATCTTGTATTGATTTGCTGCCTTGAGATTCTCAGTCTTTTCTCTTCAGCTAGTGATTTTCTTGTTGTTTTATTTGTATGTTATTAGAAATTTTCTGTACAAGTAAATATCATAAGTTAGAAAAATAATGTTTATTCAGTTATATGTAGCTGTCATACATTTTAATTATATTTGTCACTTTTCCAAGGTTACACGGCAAGAATGTAGTGCTGAGATTTTAACTCAGATCTCCCTGACTCTACAGTTTGCCTTTTTAAAATTATTAAAATATTTTAAAATTATTATTGTGGTAAAATACACATAACATAAAATTCACCATTTTAACTATCTTAAAATGTACAATTTGGTGGCATTTAGTACATTCATAATGTTGTAAAACCATCACCGGTATCTAGTTCTAGGATATTTTCATCATCCTCAGAGGAAACTACCCATTAGGCAGTTACTTTTCATTTCCCTTCTCCTTGGTCCTTGGAAGCCACCAATCTGCTTTTTTGTCTGTCTTCTGTGAATTTACCTATTCTCGATAATGTAATCTATTTATATGGAGTCATATAGTATGTGACCTCTTGTACTTGGCTTTTACCTTCTTTTACTTAGCATAATGTTTCTAGGCTCATCCATGTTGTAGTATGTATCAGTACTTCATTTCTTTTTATAGCTGAATAATATTCCATTGTATGGATATAACATTAATTTATCCATTCATCCAATGGACATTTGGTTTGTTTTTCCTTTTCAGCTATTGAGAACAGTGCTATAATTAATATTAGCTTACAAGTACTTGTTTCAACATAATTTTCAGTTCTTTGTCATATACTACACAGTGGAATTGTTGGGTCATATGGTAACTATGTTACAAGTTTTTGAGGAACTGTCAAATTATTTTTCCTAAGTCACTGTACCATTTTACATTTCCACCAGCAGTGTAAAATGATTCCTATTTTTCCAGATCCTTGCCAACATTTGTTAATTTTTGACATTTTAATTGTAGCCATCCTAATGGATGTGAAGTGGTATCTCATTGTGGTTTTGATTTGCATATCCCTGATGATTAATGATGCTAAATATCTTTTAAAATGCTTATTGGCTATTTATGTATCTTCTTTGGAAAAATGTTTATTTGGATCATTGCTCCATATTGTTGAGTTATAAGAATTTCTTATGCATTCTGGACACTTGTTGAGTTATAAGAATGTTGTTTTTGAGTTTTGAGAATTTCTTTTGTTGAGTTATAAGAATTTCTTATGCATTCTGGACACTAGACCTTTAACATGTATATGGTTTCTAAATACATACTCCCATTCTGTAGATCGTCTTTATACTTTCTTTAGTGTCCTTTGATACACCAAAGTTTAAAACTTACTTTGAATCCAATTTATCTATTTTTTTCCCATTTTTATTTTGCTCTGTGTTTCATGTAAACGCTAAGAAACCAATCCAAGGTTATAAAGCTTTGCCCCTATATTTTCTTCTAAGAGTTTAGTTTTGATGCTTACATTTAGGTCTTTAAAATGTTGTGTTTTCTTAAAGATTGATTGATTTGAGAGAGAACGTAAGAGAATGCAAAGCTGGGGGAGGGACAGAGAGAATCTTAAGCAGACTCCCCTGCTGAGCATGAGCTTGATGTGGGGCATGATCCCAGGATCTCAAGATCATAACCTGAGCAGAAATCAAGAGTCAGACACTTAACTGACTTAACCACCCAGGCACGCCATCTATAATCTGTTTTAATTTTTGTATATGGTGGCAGGTAGGGTTTCAGTTTCATTACCTTGCATGAAGAGACTATATTTTCCCCAGTGAATGACCTTGGTTGGCATCCTTGTTGAAAATTAATATCTGTAGATATATAGATTTTTTCCTGGACTCCTCCCCCACCATTAATCTGTATCACTGTTCTTATGCCACTTCAACACTATTTTGATTAAGGTAGCTTTTGCCTAAGTTTTGAATTTTCTTTCTTTTCTAGATCAATCTGGCTAAAGTTTTCTTAGTTTTGTTGATCTTTTCAGAAAACCAACTTTGGTTTTTATTTTCTATTGTTTTTCTGTTTTCAATTTCATTTATGCTATAGTCTTTATTTTTTCCTTCCTTCTGCTAGCTTTTGGCTAAATATGCTTTTATTTTTCTAGTTCTTTAAGGTTAAAATTGTTATTGATTTTTGGGGACCTTTCTTTTTTCATATTGGCTTATATGAGGATCAGCCAGAGGTGAAAACTTAGTGTTTCTGGGGTCTTTTCTGAGCATGCATCCAGTCTTGACCATGTGTGTCCTCCAGATTCCCTGGTATCTTTGGGAGCTTTTCAAATCCCTTATTTATCTATGTTTCTCCTTTTTTCCCAGCCCTTTGTTTCCTAGGTCTTTTGGTCTGTCACCTGCTTGTCTTGTCTTTACCCTTTACTCCATGCTGCTTCATCTAGTATATTTGTCTTAAATGTTTTGACGGAGAAAGTTCTGAGACCAGCAAATCAGGGCAAGTATCTGAGCCCATCCCTCAGGGATCCACCACATAGATCAAAACACACAATCACTTTTCTTTAAGAGCAAGGTTCATTTTCCTCCTCTTGAACAATCCAAACCAGGAACATGGGCATGGGCCATCATACCTAAGACCATTGCTCAGCTGGAGAGTGGGTGATGGTAGGCAGGTAAGTTAAAATGAGACAGAGTGCTCATCAGAATATATCATTCTATTTCTTAATTGAGCATTCTCCTAATTTTGTAAGTTTTAAAATTAGATTTCAGTTTCTGAAGAATTGCTTCTGACAGTTTTTGGCAGCTTAATTGTTGCTTTAGTGGGGCAGTAAGAATTTTGTAGTTTCCTAATCTGTTATTTCTGTGATATTACCCTGTAAGTTGTCATTTTAATTACACACTGAAATTCATCATTAAAATTAATTTTAAAAATAAAATCTAAAACAGTGATGTTTATTGTTTTAGAAATAGGTGTTAGAAATTTTAAGTTACTGATAATAATATAATGTGATTTGCTCTCTCTGAAAGAATGGAACACATCACTTGAGAGAAGCTCCAATTCCATAGGTTTTATTTTAAAAATTTAAAAATATTTTTTATGTCTATTTACTTTTTTCCACTGTTAGCTTGTGTTTTTTGCCGAAAAAATGATGACTGTCCTAATAAATATGGAGAAAAGAAAACTAATGAGAAATGGAATATCACTGTACATTACTATTGTTTGGTAAGTATAACTTATAATTAAATCCTGGAAATTTTATAGTCTTCTAAAGAAGACAATTAGATCTTGGTGGTTGGTTTCTGAGATTTGGATAAGTCATTTTACTTTTCTTGATCTCCTTTTGCCTCTATGTAAAATAAAGTTTTTCATTTATCAAATCCTAAGATTGTGAAATTAGTTCATATGTATGAAGGAAGACCGGTCATCATTATCTATATATTTTTGCCTAACCTTTTAGGGCCAAAGTGAAAAAAGGAAAAAATGATTAGACCTCTTAAGGGAATTGTCTTTTTATCACTTTCTTGTTTCCATTGTTGCTAGTGATAAATCTCAGAAAAGAGTCCTTTGAAGGTTCAGGAGTAAAAGGAAAGTATTTTATTTCACAGAGAACCTGGAAAGAAAGGTTCTGAATAAAGAAAGCAATATTTGTGGAAAAGGAAGTAGGTGAATATATGGGCCACTCAGAAGAAAGAAAAAGTGATTTCATACTGAGAATTAGTCTCATTTGTTTGCCCTTCCTTCTACCAACTTTTCACTTACTGAATCTATACCATAAGATATTAATGGCACCTTCACTGCCTTGGTGTGCCAAGGCTGCAGTCAGTAGTAGCACAATATTTCTCGATACTCTTTGAGTTACATATTGCTACTTAACAAATTATCCTGAATTTTAACAGCTTAAATAGTTATTATCTCAAACATTTTCTGAGGGTCAGGATCCTGGTATTGGCTGAACTGTAGTTCTGGCTCAGGTTTCAGTCATATGGAGGCTAGACTTGGGCTGGAGGATCCACCTCTAATACCTCACTTACATGTTTTTCTGGTCTTAGTACTTAATTAACCCTGTTGTCAAGAGGCCTCTCTATTCCTCACTTCCTAGGTAGCTCTGTAGGGTACTCACAGCATATTATCTGGCTTCTTCCAGAGCAAGTGATGAAAGAGAGGGAGAGAGGGATAGACAGACACCAAGATAGAACCATATGACCTAGTCTTCACAGTTGCATTCCTTTTTTTTTTTTAAAGATTTTATTTACTTATTCATAGACACAGGGAGAGAGAGAGAGAGGCAGAGACACAGGCAGAGGGAGAAGCAGGCTTCATGCAGGGAGCCCGATGTGGGACTCAATCCCGGGTCTCCAGGATCACACCCCAGGCTGCATGCGGCGCCAAACCGCTGCGCCACCGGGGCTGCCCCACAGTTGCATACTACTGTCACTTTTACTTTATTCTATTTGTTAGAAGTGAGTCATTAAGTCTAGCCCATGTTCAAGGGGAAAGGAATTAGGATCCACAAATTTGTAGATCTGTTTTTATACCTACCGCAGCATCCATGTTAAAATTCTAGATGCTTCGAGAAAACATCTAACATATTTCTTGGTGGTTCTTTAAGACTATAGTTTTGTGTCTCAAGTGCCCTGTGCATTAAATAGACTTCTAGCTAGTCTAAGAACCTAATTACTTTGTACCAAGATTTAAGAGAACATGAATTTGGCATTCCAAATTTATTTGTAAGTTGGGAGTCTTAAATTTTGTATCATCAAAGAAAGCCTTTTCATTTTTCTGAGAGTTTAGTTTACTTTTTATGCAGTAGAATTAGGAGAGCTATTTTATTAATCATTGTTTTTTTTTCATAACCAATTCTTAAGTAATGTGTATTTTTTTGTTTTCTCTAGGATATTGATATTGATAACAATAATCATATTGATAACAATAATCTTCTCTAATCACAAATTTGAAGTATTTTTGAATTATTTAATATATTTAATTTGATGAAAATTTCCTTTATATTGTTTTTCATTAATGAGTATAATAATTCAAAACATACCTACCCTAGGCTCAAACTTAAATAAGATTCTATTTCACTATAAACAGTACAGTAATGTTACAAATGGAATGGCAGAGCTTAGAAAGACAATCTAGTCCACTGTTTTTATTTTTGTGTTTAAGATGAGAGACATTAAATTACTTGTCTGGAGTTTCAGAAAGTTGGACATAGAGCCTGGTTTGCAAACCAGGATTTCTTATTCACAGTTCCATGAGTTTTCTTGATTCATATTTCCTTAACATATTTAAACTGAAGTTAAAAAATTTTTATTAAAATTCAAACTTCTATGTTAACCACGATTCAATAGGTTTCTATAAATACACCTTTTATGATCCAAAATCAAGCTAGATTTAAAGTTAGCCTGAAATGTCACCGACGAACTGAATTATTTCCGTAATATTTACTGTTACTACATTTATACCTTTTAGTATTTGCTACTTTTTTTCTAAAGCTTCATTACAGGTGTTTTTTGCCTCGTATTTTTTCTTCTAGTTCCTGGAATACTTTTAGAACGTGTTTGGTTAAATGTATAGTGTTAATGTATAGTGTCTTCCAAATCGAAGAATGTGATTAGCCTCTTCCTTTAACCATGAAAAATAACTATAAGAGGTCCTTGAAATTCAAGTTACGTCCATTTTTTTATTGGAACATTACATATGTGTGTATATATATTATATATTCATGGAATATATGTATTTTTATACATTCACACATTTTACATATATATGTATTTCAAGCTAGTTTCTTAGAATCTGTTTTCTAATTGAAAATATATTTACAGTTGATGTCAAGTGGAATTTGGCAGAGAGGTAAAGAAGAAGAAGGAGTTTATGGTTTTCTAATAGAAGACATCAGGAAAGAAGTGAACAGAGCTTCTAAACTGGTAAGTAGATTGTTTTACTCATTACACTAAATACGAAAAGTGTCATCATACTAGGGAATGTTTTTTCCACCAGTTTCCCTATTGGAAATTTATAAGACTTTTATGTTTAAATGCTTATTTCTGTCAAATAAGATAAATTTTAGAAGAACTTTTTGAAAATTTGCAAATAAAAGCAAGGTTAACCAACCCTGAATAATACATATGACAATGCTGATTCTACTTATTTTATTCCATCCTGTCCATCATTTCAGCCACTTCTACCTTCAGAATTATGACCCAACTTCCACTCTGCTGTTCTTCAAACCTTTAACCCTGAGTCAACCCAGATGTTTACTTTTTATTATGCCTCAGTTGCTGAGTTGGCATAGTGGGTTGAGGTGGAAATTAAACAGTTATGCAGACCAGTAATTTATGATATCTCCACCTCTTGCGACCATCCTGTGATATTATATACCTTTGTTCATTGCCTTCTCATCTTCTCCAAAATAAGTATTCTAAACTTTAACCCTTTTTTCATTCCGTTATAGTTTGTGAATCTACGGTATGATACCTATTGTATTAAATGCAAGGAAAGGATTGCAGGGTTCTATCTGGTCTGAGTAGAAGTAGTAAGAGTTAGGAAATGAGAAGGTTAAAAAAAAATGAGAAAGTTAGAAGTATAGAGAATTCTGTCCAGAGAATGATAACTGGAACTGATAATCTCAATGGTGATAAGAGGATTCATTGTTACTCTGGAGTAGAGATGAAGGACATTGACACATTATAGTTGAAATCAAAGAAAGGTTGTCTCATCAATGTAGGGGTTATTTACAACGGTAACAAGAATTAAGATACAGAGAAAAGTGCCAAAGTCTGGAGGTGGAAGAAGTTACATCCTACAGAGGGTGTAGATGTCATTAGGCTCAAAGAACCAGATTTTGAAAAGTATAAAGGCAAAATTGTGACCTACAACCTGCAACAGAGAACTAAAACAATGTTGTGATTGTCTCTTGCCTTTTTCCATATTCTATTCCTAACCCTTGTCAAGTCTGGATGAAAATTAAGGAGGATGGGAAAATAAGGATAGTTTTATTCAAGAAATTCTGTAAGGGAAGCAAGCATTTAGAGATCTTTTTTTAGTTGATGCAAAAAAAAAATGAAGGCAATTAGTTTTGAAGATGTTGAGGATGCTGAAGATTAGATGGTAAGATAGAGTCTCTGGGATGCAAGAGAAAACCTTGGGAGAAAGGTTATCAGTGGCATTTATCTTAGGACGGTGTGAGTATTTGTATCAAAATTCTTCAACCTCCTGATGATAGTGAGCTTGTGAAAGATGACTTCAAAAGGTCTCCTTGTAGGGGGATCCCTGGGTGGCTCAGCGGTTGAGCACCTGCCTTCAGCCCAGGGCGTGATCCTGGAGACCCGGAATCGAGTCCCACATCGGGCTCCCTGCATGGAGCCTGCTTCTCCCTCTGCCTGTGTCTCGGCTTCTCTCTCTGTATCTGTCATGAATAAATAAATAAAATCTTTAAAAAAAAAAAAAGGTCTCCTTGTAGTTTGGAAATAAGTGGCTTTTAAAAACATTTGAATTTTTTCTTCTTTAATATTTATTTATTTTAGAGAGAGAGAGAGTGAGCACAGCAGAAGGGGGCGGGGAGAGAGAGAGAGAGAATATCAAGCATGCTGCACTAAGCGTGGAGCCCAACTCAGGGCTTGATCCCACAACTCTGAGATCTGACCTGGGCCGAAACCAAGAGGTGGACACTCAACTGTACCACCCAGGCTTTCCTGTTGTGAACCTTTGAGAATATCTTGATCCTGAAGAAGTTCTCTTCATCTGTGACATTAAGCTAGAGTTTCATATGCGAGTTTACTGAAAGAGCCTCAGGTTGGCAAAGTTATCTCCAATGACCTAGTGGTACTCCATGGGCCAGCATAAGATTGTATGAGTAACCATTTTAGAATGGCTATCTCAAGAGTTCTAAGATGTTTTAGATTCCACTCTGTATTTTAGTAATGATTGAATCATGTAATAGTCTTTGTGTTCTTATTATGAACTCTCTCTAAAATAAATAAATAAATCTTTAAAAACAGAAACAAAGACCGTATTTCTAAATAAGGTCACATTCATAGGAACCAAGAATTAGGACTTGAACATATCTTTTGCAGGGGATTGGGGTGGGGGGGGGACAGGTGTTACTATGTAACCTATTATGGGTATCTTAACACTTTCATTTAGTTAGGATAGGGTGATCCTAGTCAATTTTTTTCACAGATTGGTTTTTTTATATTGTTTTGCTATTCTTCTTGATGAATATTTCCTATTTGTGTTTTTTATTGAGATTTGAACTTTAATGTATAGCCATTTTATTTATACAAACCCTTTAGTTGAAAATATTTTAGCTAAGTAGAAAGGAAAAGAAGCTTCTCTGTCCATCCACATGTTAGATTAGAGATGACTCTTTTATCAGAAATTGTTACAGGAGTGAATCTTTAGTGTCTTTAGACTGTTTTCTAGGTAGAACTTTTTTTTTTTTTTCAGAAATTGCTTTAATAAGCCATCATCATAGCTGTAGTATGATGAAATAATTTTCTGACTCCCCACAAGGAATATTTATTTATACCTTGGTCATATTATATTACTCAGATTTTGTATGTTATGACCTCTGTTTTCATATTTTCTTCTAGAAATGCAGTATTTGCAAGAAAACTGGTGCTTCAATTGGATGTGTTGCACCCCGATGTAAACGAAGTTATCATTTCCCCTGTGGACTTCAGAGAGAATGCATTTTCCAATTTACTGGCAATTTTGCGTAAGTTAATTGTTGAATATGAAAGATGAATGTTAAGGAAAAGGGGAAAATGGATATGGATAGCCCAATGATCTAAATCCTTTGTAAAATTTCTCTTCAGAGCTACACTGAGTTTACACATACATGCTACATATATGTTGTTTATATATATGTTTAAAATTGCTCACTTCTTCCTTTATGGAGTCATTTCTATCTGCAAAGTCTTGGGAATTGCCAGTCTTCAATGGACTTAACAATTAATATTCACCTTCAATTTTCAGCTCTAGGATATAATATGAAACTTTATTCATATTATATGAATATTCATATTTTATAAAAATTTCCACCTTACATAAGTTTAGATTTTTACATCACTCTTCAGATTTATGGTCCACTTTTCTTCTACAGGGCCTTATGTATTTCTCATTGAGTAAATTGACAGCATTTAAATTTCGAGGAGTCCAAGAAAATAAATCACCCCAAGGCCCTGAAGTGCCCCTGACAGTATTTACTTCATGAATCCAGCTTTAAACATCCAAGATTTATGAATTTTAGTATTTTTTAAATATTTTATTTATTTATGAGAGACAAAGAGAGAGAGAGAGGCAAAGACACAGGCAGAGGGAGAAGCAAGCTCCATGCAGGGAGCCTGATGCAAGACTCGATCCTGGGACTCCAGGATCACGCCCTGGGCCAAAAGGCAGGTGCTCGACCACTGAGCCACCCCAGCATCGAATTTTAGGATTTGATATTACAAGTGTTCTATTTCTTTTAGTCTTTGTGTTCTTGACCTATTTAATGGATTGTTAGCATGTACAAAATCACAGTTTAGAAAATACAAATGGAAATAAATTTAATGGGTTAGGAATAAATATTTATTTGCATTTTATATACTACATGATTAAAATATTTTTAAAGTCCTTTAATTTTGTACATTGTTGAGTATAATGGTGTTGCTAACAATATTTCATAGGGTTCTCAACATAATACTAGTTATTGGAATTCTAGGAGTTAGGTCTTACCAAAAGGTTCACATTCTGAAAGTCCTGCTCTCCTTGGTCATAGATTGTGAGACTGATTTACAGTGCCAAAGTTCCAGTCTGTTGTAGGTTAATTATGAGAGAAATACAAATGAATTTCCTCTTATAAATGTAAATTGCAGTTCTATCCTCATACTTTGTAACTTATTAGATGTTTCTAAATGATTTACATTTTTAGGTCATTTTGTTGGAAACATCGTCCTGTTCAAATAATTACATCTAATAATTATAGAGACTCCATGCCATGTACCATTTGCTTGGAATTTATTGAGCCTATTCCAACTTACAGTATATTACGAAGTCCTTGTTGTAAGAATGCTTGGTTTCATAGAGACTGTTTACAGGTAAGTAATTTTGTAAGCCTTTTCTGATATAAAATTTGTTCCTTGCTGATTTAAATTTTATTTTATTTTAACATTTTTTATTAGAGTTTATTTACTTGTTTATTTATATAGTCTCTACACCGAGTGTGAGGCTCGAACTCATGACCCCAAGATCAAGAGTCACATATTCCTCTGACCAAGCTAGCCAGGTGCCCCTGCTTTGAATTTTAAATTGTAAAGATTTGACAGTTACTTTACCTCTACTTATAACTTAAAAACAGCTTTATTAAAGCATATTTTACGTAAAAAGTTTATTGAACTGTACAACTAATACTTTAATAAATACTTTAGAGTACTACCCACTTAAAAGTTTTTGTTGTTTTAACCTAAGGATTTTGTTTGTATTTCACATGATTAAAACAGATTTAATCCCCAAGTTTATTTACATTTTAAGCTTCAAAACCAAGACATGTGAAATGATAATTTAACTGTAAGCTAATATATTTAAATGTTGAGGCCTTTGAAAGAAAAAAAAAAACTCTGGTATACCCTTTAATCACAGCTTCTTGACAGGGACTGATGACCATTTAATGATTTAAAGGACTCTTTGAAAGCCACCTTGTATGTGAAAATCAATGACCAGTTTGAGTTTTTTTAAGATTTTATTTATTTGAGAGAGAGAGTGCATGGGTTGTGGGGAGGCAGGGGGAGAAAGAGAAACAGACTCCCTGCTGAGCAGGGAGCACAATGTAGGGTTTGACTCCAGGACCCCAGGATCATGACCTGGACTAAACGCAGACACTTAGCCAACTGAGGCACCCAGATGCCCCAATGACAAGTTTTTAAGTAAACATCATGAAACACATAATATTAAGCAATTTAATATTTATTTTGATTCAGAAGATTCATGAATATTTTAAGATCTTGATTATTGATAGCATCAAATATAATAGTATACATGCGTGAAAGTGCCAACTGATAGTTACAGTTAATAGAATGCCAAATAACAAAGGATTTAATTAAATTTGACTTTTTTTTTGGAGCTTGGCTTTTATTACTGTTTAGTAAAAAAATGTTATTATTTTTTTCAATGTTATTATTGATTACTGGTTATCCACAAAAGTATTTTTTAGAGTTAGGAGATATTATAAATCCTCTTGTATTTCAAGAAAGTCTTAAAGCAATAATAGTCAAAGTATGTGAGTGAGTCAAACAATAGACAATAATTCTTCTTGAGTAGCGAAGTAGCAACTTCTTCTTGAGTAGTGGTCACTCAACCTAATACTTAGATATACTTTCAAAATTGTATTTTATCCTAATAAACCACCTGCAGTTTCATCAGGAGTGGTTGTCGCCTGCCTTTGAATTTAAAAATCTTCTAAGCTGTCCTGATCACTATGTAGAAACAGAGAATATTCAGCACCTCATGGACCCTACTTTATAACATGTGGATAGAATGAATGATGCACAGAAGTTGAGTATGGGTTCTTTTGCTGCTGCCTACACTCAAGCTCTATTGGTACGCCCGAAGGCCAGAATAGAATAAGGAGATTCTTAAGGAGAATTTGAGATTCAGAAAAACTGGTTAAAATAGAATCAGAGGTCAATGAAATGGAAAATAATCTAACTCAAAGGCTCCTGAGATCAAATCCATATCCCAAATCCCTTCACTCAAAGAAAGGCAGCAGTTGAGTTCTCCAGATTGACGTTGACATTAACCAAAGAAATAATCTTTTTCAAGCCCGAGGACCACATTTTAATTTTAGCACTATTCATAATTTTTATAGACAATATTGGATTTGTTGATCCTCTACCACCAAAACTCCAAGGACTCAAGACACAGAAAATGACAAGGGGTCTCAGTGGAATTGTACTGCTTGTATTTTTTTGAAGACCTTTCTTTCTTTTTCTTTCTTTCTTTCTTTCTTTCTTTCTTTCTTTCTTTCTTTCTTTCTTTCTTTCTTTCTTTCTCTCTCTCTCTCTCTCTCTCTCTCTCTTTCTTTCTTTCAGCATGTGTGAGCAGGGGGAGGGGCAAAGGAAGATGGAGAGAGAGAATCCTGGAGCAGACTTCACCTCTTGTCATGGGGCTCAGTACCAGGACCCTGAGATCATGGCCTGAGCCAAAGTCAAGAGTTGACTTAACCTACTGAGCCACCCAGGCACCCTTATGGCTTGCTTCTTTTTTTTTTTTTGTTTGTTTGTTTGTTTGTTTCAAAGCTCTTGGTGAAACACTACATTATGAAGAAAATAAATAAGCTTTAGCTCTTTAAAAACTGTTGACTGCCTCATGGTGCCTGCCAATGGGCAGAGGAAGAACTTCAGAATTTCATGGTATTCTTGGCTTTGTCTTCCCTAAAAATTTTCTACTCTGCGAAGCCAACATCTAGGGTCTACAGATGGAAAGGAAAGCATCATGCATTGTCTGTAAAAAATAGGCAGTGAAATATCCCAAAGCTTTTCCCACTGTCTAGTCTCTTGAGTTTGCTTTAAATGATTTATTTTTCTTATTTTCTCATATTTCTATAAGTATAGTTTAATAGTCTTTTAACTGATTTTCTTTCCTTTTAGTGATTAAGCACAATCACGTCCTTTTTTAAGCTGTATCTGAGAGAAACCGTGCCTTAAAATAAAAAAAGTTTTAATGAAATGAAACTGCACAAAATAACTTTCCTATACTTATTCTGCACTTTGTCCTCGTGAGTGCCGATTTTCTGTGAAGATATACAGACAGATGGTGCCCAGTGAATTGCAGGAAATATTATAAGACTTCTGTCTATAAAGTCACACTGTATGCTGACTTTAGCAGTGGGCGACACATCACAGTGTACATTTTTTGTTGTTTAAGATTTTATGTATTTATTCATGAGAGACACTGAGAGAGGCAGAGATATAGGCAGAGGGAGAAGCAGGCTCTCTGCAGGGAGCCCAATGTGGGACTCGATCCTAGGATCCCGGGATCACAACCCAAGGATTATGCCATTTTATATTTAGGATTCATTAGGTGGCAGGATGGAGCCTATTTTGTCGAGTAAATTTTATAAATTCTGTTAGTTCTTATAAAGAAGTGTTTTGTAAAAGGATCCAGGGAGTGTAGTTCATAAATATCATGAAAATTTATCTTTACCTAATAAGTTTAAACTGTATGAGAATTTTACAAAGGAAATTTATCTTACGAGTTTGTATTTGTGTCATCTTGTTAATTTTGGAAGAGTATGTTATTTTTCAAAAACAGTTAAGAGGGATCCCTGAGTGGCACAGCGGTTTGGCACCTGCCTTTGGCCCAGGGCGCGATCCTGGAGACCCGGATTCGAATCCCACGGTGCATGGAGCCTGCTTCTCCCTCTGCCTGTGTCTCTGCCCCTCTCTTTTCTCTCTCTCTCATATAAATGAATGAATGAATGAATGAATGAATGAATGAATGACAAAAACAGTTAAGATCTGCCCCAATCAATATATAAGAAAAAGGAAAAAAAAAATTGCTTCAGTTGTTAGTAACAAAACACAGAGAGGTTCTCAAACTTGACTCTATTTTCCATAGGGCTTTTTGTGAACACTGAAAATACCAAATTTCTAATCCTGTCATTAAAAAGTCAATAATACAGAAAAATTAAATAAAAAGTCAATAATAATACTTACAAAACGTAGGTCTACTTTATGCAAATAAAAAAATCACAGCAACAGGAGCACTTGTTTATAAAATAAATAGGAACATGCAGTTGTTCCTTCATTAGAGACCAGTAAGAACTAATTCTCAAGTCATATTCTGTAAAGGAGCTACAGCGCCTTTTCCATTCTGTCACAAGTCTTAACTGAAGTAGTAAATGAAGTCTATCCTATTAAATAACAAATACCTGAAGAAAAGTTTTTAATTCTCTGAACTTCATTAAAGGAAGAACAGTCCTGTGCAACAGAATGAGAATTCTATGTAAGTAAGCATATTTCGTCATTTGTGACGACTATAAATGCTTATATGGTTTCGGATTTTGTAAAAGAAGAGTGCAGATTAATATCTTAAAATTGATGGAAACTTTTCACTCTCTATGTAGAGAATTGCCACTATACTTGGTCAGTTTGGATTTCTCCATCATCCCAGTGGTCATGTTCTATCTTCCTTATCTCCTATGTTTTTTGTTTTTTTCCCCTCCATATTATCCATTTCCTTGTGTCATAGCTAATACTAAGGTATTGATACCAGTGTATAGTTGGCTCCTGAAGGCCTTTAGGTTCAGAGATTTCAGTGATTTGTTTCCCTCCCACACTCTGTGTATGTGTCCCACTTGCTACTAGTGGGTTGTTTTTGTTTTTGTTTTTGTGTGTTTTTTAAAATTTTTGTTTAAGCCACTGGGGCTCAAACCTATGACTCAGACCGAGAGTTACATGCTCTTCTGACCAAGCCAACCAGGTGCCCTGCTACTAGTGTTTTTGAACCTCAGTTCTTCTGTTTTCTTTATCATTTATAAATCATTCCCTAAGTCTGTCAAGTCTACCTAATAGTTATTGTGTCTTTTTTTTATTGCTAACCTCTGCGACTTAACTTTAGATGCTTTCAAAAAAAATAAATAAATAACTAGACTTTTGAAGGAGCCCACTAACTGGCTTTTTCCCCTGCATACCTTATTCTGTATTAACTTTTTATATACAGTGCTGGCTTTGATTTCCCTAATTCATAACCTCATTACAGAATTAGACATGCAATGCAATTCTTATCATGTAATCCTAAACATATTATTAATTAGTTCCCTAATCATATTGTCCTTTCTCTTACCATGGAGACTTGATAAGTGCAATTCCATATCCTTATAATGCCTTTTGTTCTATTTCCTAGCAAATCTTTGTTTCCTCTTCCAAACTTAGCTTTGACCTCACCATTCTCGTGACATTTTTGTCAAGGCTTTTAGACTTAGGTATTTACTCCTTTCTCTTCCATGTTTATACTTAAAATGCACACACACTTTTACAAAGTATTGTATCTCATCATTCCAATCTAAGTTATTTTTTTCTATTTTTGGTACATAGTATAATGTTTGCTACCTATACAGCAGGGGTTAAATAGTTGTTAAATGAATGTGTGGTACTAGTTTTCTGGGGGGGGAGGATTGGCTACTCTTTCTAGTAGGTTTGTAGTTTTCTGTCCCTGAGAGTACCCTCTGCCTGCTGGTTCTGTGTTTCTATTTACAGAAGGAGTGAGAATAGGTTTTATGCTTTTACCCTTTTAGGAAGAACACTAGCTTAGAGATTGAGTTAAAAACAGAACCGAGGATATTTTATAATAACATGTATTTAAACATCCTTCCTAGGTGAAGTAAGTCAATATTTTTACTGTTTTAATCAGTAACTGATGGACAACATGATATGTGGGGACCGAAATGACATTGGATAGCAAAGGTTGAGAAAAAAATATGAGATAGATGTAAAACTAAGAACCGTCAATTCATTAACTTATTTTTTTGGTGATTAGGAAAAAAGATCTCAGAATTTTAGCAGAATAATTTCATTTATCAAAGCCTGAGAACTAGCATAGAAAGTGTTTTCATAATAAAGTGAAAAGTAGCACATGTTCTGTTAGCTATTATAATCTATAACCTAATACCTTGTTAAATTATTATTATTATTTTTAAAGATTTTATTTATTTATAGAGACAGAGAGCGAGGGGGGGCAGAGGCACAGGGAGAAGCAGGCTCCATGCAGGGAGCCTGACATGGGACTCGATCCAGGGTCCCCAGGATCAAACCCCAGGCTGCAGGCGGCACTAAACCGCTGTGCCACCAGGGCTGCCCCCCGTTAAATTATTAACAATAGGTTTTCTCTTTTCCACTATAGGTTCAAGCAATAAATGCAGGAGTATTTTTCTTTAGATGCACAATATGCAATAATAGTGATATATTTCAGAAAGAGATGTTGAGAATGGGAATTCATATTCCTGAAAAGTAAGTACCATTTAGCCTTTTGACAAAAAGATAATTTAAATGTAAGATTTTAATAACAATGGAAATAATTGTTTATGTTTTGATTAAGTGATCATGGACAAGTAGTCATCTTAAATGGGGAAATATAAAGCTGCCTCTACCACTGCCTCCTTCTCCTTCCCAGATTGCTAGTTCTTGAGAGCAGGGACTGTGACTTCAGTATCTCATTAGTTGATTTGTAGTCTCTTAATAAATCCTCGGGTATGTACAATAGTAATTTTTTTTTGTACAATAGTAATTAATTGACTTAGATACTAGCATAATAGACTTTTAAATGGTATGTATAAATTATCTAAAAGAATCAATATATGGTTTAAAATATATAACGGATTTTCTTTAATACTTAAAGATGAGGAATCTGAAATAATGTTACTAAACTTGAAATTTAAAAATTAGAAGTGAAATATTGGGAAAAATATAAATTTTAGAACATTTCTAATTTATTTAACATTTGAAAATTCACTGTGGAAATAATCAACTGCAGGATAAAATGACAATGACAGATTTATATCTTGAAGAGAATGATTAATCCTGAAAAGAAAAAGGTTTATCCTTATTCCTAAGTATGTGAAAAATTTTTGTTTTTAGATTTCATTACTAATCCTTATATGTAACATTTTAGTTGAAAGTGTATTTTATATCTTCATTTACAGAGATGCATCTTGGGAATTAGAGGAAAATGCTTATCAAGAACTTCTGCAGCACTATGAGCATTGTGATGTCCGAAGATGTCGTTGCAAAGAAGGGCGAGACTATAACGAACCTGATAGGTATAATGGGAAGTCCCAATTGTGCTTACTGTCCTTATTTAAACCATCAGTCAAAGAAGTAGTTTTCTAGTTAATAAAGTGTGGTTTTGCTTTTAGGATGTTTGAAGTTTTAGCTTGAGAGGAAATATATTTATTAAATGCATGTTTACATCTGTTTACAGAGATATTATTGCTGTCAGCATGGTTGTAACTGATTTATGTGGTGTATTTTCATGAGGCTTCATTTTCTAGAGCTGCACTGCCTTATATTTATTATAGGCACATGTGGCTATTGAGTACTTGAAATGGGGCTATTCCAAATTGAGAGGTGTTGCAAGTGTGAAATACACAGTGAAGACTCATTTTCTTATTTTACTAAGGCTGCCATAACAACATAAATTTGTTTTCTAACAATCCTAGAGGTAGAGGTATTGGCAAATTTTATTTCTTCTGAAGCCTCTCTCCTTGGCTTGCACATGGTTGATTCCCTGCTATGTCCTCACGTGATTATCCCTCTGCCAGATCCTAATCTTCTTTTCTAATAAGGACACCAGTCATATTAAATTAGGGCCCACCCATATGACCTCTTAATTTATCTTAATTATCTATTTAAAGGTCCTAGCTCCAAATATAGTCACATAATGAGGTGTAGTGGGTTTTAGGACTTTAACATGAATTTGGAGGGGACACACAGTTCAACTCCTAGCAGTAAGACAAAAAGAACTTAGAGTATCATGTTAATAACTTTTTATATTGATTACATGTCAAGCAAAATGATATGTTGGAAATGTTGAAATTCATTTCACCTATTTCTTTTACCTTCTTAAATCAAGTTGCTAGAAAAGTTTAAATTCATTAAATGACTTGCATTGTATTTCTATTGGATGGCACTGTTTGGTTGAATTTATGGAGGATATTTCAATAAATTTGTAATCCCTGTTACACAATCCTACATGGCAAGCTGAAACTTAAGTGCAAAGCAGAATATTGGGAGCCTTATTTCTCATGGAAGGTGATTTGGCTGGGTAAGCTATCTTATTTGCAAAGATTCAGCTGATGTCTGCCAGCTTTGAAAATTTTCCGTAAGCAGCTCTTACCACTACCATATCCCTGATTTCCCGTTCTGAGCTGGGCTTTTTCTTTTATGTGCATGTTACAATGTAATTTACATTATTTGAGTTTGTTTTTGTCATTAGACTAAAAATTATTTAAGAGCAGAGATCTCTAGATTTCTAAGAAGCAATATATTCATTAATATTGATATTTTCTAAATTTATTTTGGGCTATTTTAGTTAATTTACATATATTACTTATATATCACTGGTCACCCAGTCAGTAGTTAACCAAACTCCCTTTCTCTTTCTGATGGCTATTTGAAATTGCTATCCTTTGTCTTTTCTCCTGGGACCTAATACCTGCAATCTGAATGTTTGGGGGTGTTTTTGTAATCTCACTCTCTCATTCTAGTGATAGGAAGATGGTTTTGCTGAGAGGCACCATGGTGTAGTGGTTAGGAGCATGGGTCTCAAGCCAACTAAACTAGGTTGGAAGCCTCACTATGAGACTTAACTAGCACTGTGAACTTAATTGGACAAGTCATTTACCCCTCTGTGCCTTGATCTCTTGTTCTTTAAAATTAAGGATAATAAGGACTTTTCCTATCACTTAAAATTATGAGGATTAAACTTCTTGTGTAAAGGCTGAGAACTGGGCCTGGCGTATAGTAAGCACTTATGTTAGCTGTCATCTTTCATCTTTCTCTCCATTATTTGGCAGAACTCTTTGGGAAAGTGGGAGAGACACACAGAGAAGACATATACCTACATACCCATATCCACACAGAAAGATTCACTTAACATCTTATGGAGTGAAGAGTATCCAAATACCTCTTCTTCCTTCTTCCTTTTCTTTCTTTCTTTCTTTCTTTCTTTCTTTCTTTCTTTCTTTCTTTCTTTCTTTCTTTCTTTCTTTCTTTCTTTCTTTTTTTTTGAGAGAGGATATATGTGAATACATGGAGGCAGGGAGCTTGAGGGAGAGGGAGAGAGAAAATCTTAAGCAGGCTCCACACCCAGCATGGAGCCTGACACAGGGTTCTATCTCATGACCCTGAGATCATGACCTGAGCCTCAAATCAAGAGTTGGATGCTTAACCAACAGAGCCACTCAAGCATCCCCCAACTACCTCTCTTATCACCTATATATATCCACACACCTAGGGAGTATATCCATTATTTATTCATAGAAGGAATATTTATAACCAAATAAAAAATAGGCCCCACACCACAACCCACACCCACACCTACACCTATACAGAAAATGTGAGTGTGGACTGGCATATATCACACAATTCAGTGGGGAAACTTGGAGGTGGGGATGGAAGGAAACAAAAGACTCTAAATATGGGCAAGATCATAAGTCTGGATATTGTTGAGCTAAGCAATACTGGATTTCTAAACAAGCATTTGTAGAAAACAATTCCTCACATTGAATATGAAAAGTAATATTTTAGGTTAAGATAATATATTTTCTGATGCTTCTTCCATGTTGGATGCATTTATATAGCAAATTCCCTATGAGCTAGTAATTTTTAGATATAAAAGAAATTTTTTTCTTTCTTAATTATATTCTTTCTGGTGTATATATTCCTGTGTATGTACATGTACATGTTGATATTAAGGTATTTTAAGTTAATGAGTATTTAGAAGAGGAGGTTACAAACATAATAAGTGAAATAGAAAAAAAATACTTTAAGAAAAAATATAGTGCAAAGCAGGTAATCTCTTTCCCCTCCTTTGGTTGAAGGGTTGGTTTTACGTGAGATGGACAGTGTAGCCTGTGGCAGTGCTAGTGGTTGGAATTAGACCAAGTTAATACCAAAATGTAAACATCTGCTTCTCTTTATGTCCTCAGCAAATGGGAAATAAAGCGCTGTCAGTGTTGTGGTTCTAGTGGAACACATTTAGCTTGTTCCTCATTACGGTCATGGGAACAAAACTGGGAGTGTTTGGAATGTAGAGGTATCCTCTACAATTCAGGTAATATTTTGTAATTGTGAATAAAGATTTTTTTCAATTGTGTATTAAAAATTTCTTCTGTATCTCTGTAATGCTAACATTGGGTTTTAAATCTACAGAGGATTTCCAAAAAGCCAAAAAGCATTCATTACCCAACACTAATAATGTGGGAATAACTGATTGTTTGTTGGAAGAATCATCACCTAAATTTCCCAGACAGTCACCTGGAGCCCAGCATAAAGATCTGCTGAGGTATGTATTGTGTGTATTTTGAATAGAAGAAAAATATAAAACTCTGTTTTTTTTAAAGTAAGCTCCTTGTCCAGTATAAGCCTTGAACTCATTACCCCAAGATCAGGTATCACATGCTCTATTAACTGAGCCAGCCAGATACCCCTATAAAGCTCTGTTATGAGAAAATTACAATAGGAAGTGGATATATACACACTTAGAATATTGATCTTAATATTCTGGACAAATGTTTTTTAAACTGCAGGACCAATGTTTGGTCATGAAGTCAATGCAACCAGCATTAAAAAAAGAAAACAAAATAGGATAGAATAGAATTATAAGATTGCATTACACATAGAATGTATATAAAATTTATTTTATTGTATACTGAATCATGATGTAAAAAATACAGATCATTTTCAAGGTAGTTTAAAATATATCAAGTATACCATGTTACTTGGTTCAAAGGAAGGAATTGTATTTAATATAACGATTAAAAAAATTGTCATTTGCTTGATATATTTGCTGTCAGTGTCAGAGGTCTAAGTATTACCTCTTTAGAAAGTTTAAGGTATACTTACAAGTATTATTGTATTCATGCCTAAATATTTTCCTACCTGGGCTGATTCATTCCATCCTTAGGCAACTTGGTGGTACCCAGCTTCTGGAAGGTCACCATACTGATGCTACGCTTAGTGCAGACACCCAGTTGGCATTGCACACTACAGCCCAGAACTCCTGTGCTCAAGCCATCCTCATGCCGCAGCCTCCTAAGTAGCTGGGACTACAGGCATGTGCCACTGCACCCAAAGCAAAATAAGTAATTTTCAAAATCATTCATAAACATTTAAATAAGACTAGAATTAGAACTTAGTATCAGGTATTTATTCAGCTGAAGTTAAGATTTTTAAGTATGTGTGGCTTTGCAAAGGCGGTTATAGAAAAATTAGGCAAAACTAACATTAGTAGCTAAGCATGATGAACTACTTTTTTGTTAAAAATATTATCAAGTAAAAAAAAAAAAGTATCAAGTTAGTGGCGCCTGGGTGGCTCAGTTGTTCACATATCTGTCTGACTCTTGATTTTGGCTCAGGTCATGATCAGGGTCCTGAGATCTAGCCCTGCATGGGTCTCCATGGTCAGGAAGGAGTATGCTTGAGATTCTCTCCCTCTCTCTCTCTGTCTCTCCCCATCTCCCTACCTCCCACCTTGGCCCACCATATGCATGAGGGCTCACTCTCTCAAATAAATAAAATCTTTTTAAAAAAATAGTATCAAGGGATCCCTGGGTGGCGCAGCGGTTTGGCGCCTGCCTTTGGCCCACGGCGCGATCCTGGAGACCCAGGATCGAATCCCACGTCGGGCTCCCGGTGCATGGAGCCTGCTTCTCCCTCTGCCTGTGTCTCTGCCCCTCTCTCTCTCTCTCTCTCTGTGATGATCATAAATAAATAAAAAAATTTAAAAAGTATCAAGTTAAAACTTAGAAGATAAAGAGAATTTCTGTGATATTTGATAACTAGATTTATAGATAGAAGTGGAATATGAAGTACTATTAAAAAAAGTGAAGAATTGCTGCTTAAGATACCACTTGTTAACTGAAAACTTGTTACAGAAGTTTTTATAATATTTTTAGTATCAAGAAGGATGTTCACATTAGTTTAAAAAATTTTAGTATGTAGGTTTCTAAACATGTTATACCAGGAAAGTTTGATTCCTTGTTCCATGATTTAACATCATATTTTAAAAGAATAGCATCAGCATTTCCATTCCAGGCAGGAGCAAGGAATCAACCTGCTACATGAAGGCATATTTCTGAAGAATTGTCTTACTTCCAGAAGACTTTGGTTTTCCTGCAACCTGGATTAATGAATAGGGGTGTGTGAAGAAAGAAAAAGCAAAGCCTGGTCCACATTGGAGCATTGTAATGTTTAACCATGAGAAGGATTTATACTTGCTGTGGAAAGATGATCCATAGACATTGTTCCAAACAGGATTATTTTGAGTACATTAATTTCAGTTACAGATAGAAAAATTGAGGCCGAGAGCAATTGATTTGGTCCATGCAATTGCCAGGAAGTATTATTGATAAGTACAGATTGCTAGGCCTCATGCTCAGAGGTTCTGATTCTGAGAACCTCAAGAAATGCATTGTGGCTCAAGAATTTGCATTTCGGGGGCACCTAGCTGGCTCAGTCAGTGGAGAGTACGAAACGAAACTCTTGATCTCAGGGTTGTAGGTTTGAGCCCCACAGTGGGTGTGTAGATATTACTTAAAAAGAAAGTCTTGGGGGGGAATTTGCATTTCTAACAAGTTTCCATATGCTGCTGTTGGTTTGAAACTACACTTTGTGAATTACTGCTATAGGCTAAATAGTACTATTTAAATGGTTGTGAATTGTGTTTATAATATTAACTCTACTGTTAAAACTAAATTTATAATTAGAAATACATTGTGAAATCTTAAAACTGTGGTTCTCACATAGAGTAAGCAGAGGTGACATTTGTTCTATTTCTAAAGGCTCTAGTAAACTTCAAATGCCTGTAAGTAACTGATTGTTATAGCCATTGGCCAGGAGTGTGAGATTCTGAGCTTCTTTTATATCTGAATCCACTGAATTGATCAAATTTGACATAATCTATCAACATTCTCATGAATCATTTATGACATTAGATTTTAATTAGTAGGAAATTGGGGAAGGAGTCAAAAATTCAGAATTAAGTCAAATAGCTTTTTGGATCTGGTGGCAGCTATTGTCTGATTTTGGGTGGGAGTTGGGGAAGAATTTCCTTCTTAATTTTTCTATTTTTTATTGGCTGAACTACTGCTGTGTCATGTAAAGTACTGTGGAATATTTAACCTCTATGTTTTAAATTCATGTTTTATAGGCAAGGCAGCAAATATAGAAGAGATATTTCAACAATTATAATGGAATTAGGATTTCAAATTAAAAAAAAAACTAAAAGATTATGGATTAATAAAGCCAATATCTGGAATAGTGCCTTAGATGGATTCAGAAATCAAAACTTTAATCCTTCACTTACAATTGAAGTAGCATATGTCAATGAAAATGATAATTTTGGAAGAGAGCATCCTGGATCAAAGCAAGAATTCCTAAGTCTCTTAATGCAACATCTTGAGAATTCACCAGTGTTTGAAGGTTCCTTGTCAAAGAACTTGTCTCTAAATTCTCGAGGTAATTTTATTTATTATTGTATGTACTGAATATTACCATGTGAAAGAGGTAGCTGGTTAGAATTAATATTCAATTCCTGTGGTCAAAATGTATATAGTTTGCTTTGTTAGTAAGCTACTGATTGAATCACAGAAAAGTGGAGAAGAGGGAGTGGTATTTTTTAAAGTAAATTTTGTAGTGAAACATTTTCTGTTTAAGAATATGCTTAATTTCTTTTAGCTGTATCCTCCTTGGAATGAATTTATAATTGAGTGTAACTTCTTTAAAAATGTACTTTATATTCATTCTAATTGCATTTGAATAGAGTGGCCAAATGGAATGGCTGATTATTTGAGCCCTTCTTGTTCACATCTTTGGAAGTTGCAGATAGGATATTTCTTCACAGCCTAGGACTTTTATCACATAATTTTCTGGTCCACATGTAACACATTTTTAAATATACTTTTGCTTTCAAGAATTTTTCATGTACATTTATGCATGTGATACTTTTCTGCCTTCTGGTGAAGAATTAAAACATGCATTTCAGAAGAATGATTAATTCTAGCATTCTTTTTTAGGAGCTTTTATATCACTTTTGCTATAATAGGAAATTTGAAAGAGTGTGAAGACTTATTTCATTGCATTTGAATTTTCTCCTGTATATTCCCTAGAACTTCCTTACTATTGCCTGAAGCATCATTAAAATAATTGAGAAACTACCAAGGTTTATTTTTAAACCTTTTATATTATTTACTATACTGTGTATAGTACACACTGTTTAATTCTAAAATCCCTTAATAAAAAGATCACTCCAAATAATCAGTAATGTTAACTCAAAACAGTTTTGGTATAGTGGATGAGTGCATAAATTCACAAAATCTAAATTTAGTTTTGTACATTATATGTTTAATTACAGAGTCTCTTTGGAACTCAGTTTCTGTATCTGTAAAATGTGACTGCTATGTAGCATATAAGGTTATTGTTGAGTTTTTATTATTAGTTCATGTATTGATAATATTAATAATTTGCTCTGAACAATATTAAGAAAAATAAAGGAAAATTTACATGATCATCAAATTTGATTTATCAAAGTAGCTAAAACATTTTATTAAGTTTTTAATTCAATTAGTTAACATACCATGTTGTATTAGTTTCCTATGTACATTATGGTAATGCAACACTTTGTGCATTACCCTGTGCTCTCCTCAATCCCCATCAGCTATTTCACCTATGCTCCTACTCCTCCTACCTCTCATACCCCTCTCCCCTCTGGTAACCACCAGTTTGTTCTCTATAATTAAGAGTCTGTGCCTTGATTAGTGTGTGTGTGTGTCTCTCTCATTTTTTTTCCCTTTGCTTATCTGTTCTGTTTCTTAAATTCCACATAATGTGTGAAATCATATGGTATCTGTCTTTCTTTGACTTCTTTTGCTTAGTAGCTAAAACATTTTAAATGATAATTTAAAAAATATTGAAAGCTATGAAGACATGGTATGACCACATATACTCTTGGGAGTAAATTTGTGCCATTTTGGAAAATAATTTAGCCCTATTTATCAACAACCTTAAAAATGTTTGTATCCTTTGAATTATTAATAACATAGGTAGGAACCTATACTCATCGAATAATAAAAGATTTATAAATAACAATATGGAGGTAAATACTGATTATATTATGTCTCATATGGTTGAAAATACAGCTTACCCAAGGTAGCTAGTAATAAGGAGATGGTTTACATTGCAATGCATCTATAAATTAGTCTTAATGTGGTCATTAACTGTAGATTTGAATAATTTTAATAAGATTAAATTAAATTAATAAGATTAAATAATTTTAATAAGATTTGAATAATTTTCTATAATATAGAAAAAGTTTACAATATAGTAAGTAAAAAAAAAAACCCAGGAGTCAAACTATTAGTGTAGATACTAATATGCATTTGAGAAATACATATCAAAGTGTGCACACGGGTTATTATAGTGATAGGATTATAAGTAATTTTTATTAAAGAGTTTCTGTATTTACATTTTTTCTATTATGTTATTTTGTATTTAGAAAAATATAGGTAAGATCTTTATACATGATTCTAGTTTCTATGAATTATTTTATATTTATCTAAGTCTTAGTTTTTTGCAATTTTTAATTTACTGTCTATGTATTCAATATATTTGGTAATTCTTTATAATAATAATAAAAGAATTATATTTGATGTATTTTAATCTGTATTTACAGCTCTGGAGGAGAATCTTTACTATGAAGCTGGCAAAATCCTTGCCATTTCTTTGGTTCATGGTGGTCCTTCACCTGGTTTCTTTTCTAAAACCTTGTTTAACTGCCTTGTTAATGGGCCAGAAAATACCCAACCAATTTTAGATGATGTTTCAGACTTTGATGTGGCACAAATGATAATCAGGGTAAGAAATGTACTTGTTAATTAAAATATAGACTATGTTCTAGTTATATTTGAATGTAAATTATGGATCTACAATAGAATAATATTCTGTGCAGTAGTCAAGGGATAACAGTATTTCTGTTTACCAGCAGAGTTCACAACCAATTAAGAGATTTTTTTTTAAAGATTTTACTCATTCATGAGAGAGACAGAGAGGCAGAGGCATAAATAGAGGGAGAAGCAGGCTCCCTGCAAGAGAGCCTGATGCGGGATTCAATACCAGGACCCCAGGATCACGACCTGAGCCAAAGGCAGGTGCCCCCCAATTAAGAGATAGATGTTAAAGTCATACAGCTAGAGATCAAAGAACCAGGTTTGATGTTGCTAAAACCAATTAGATAACATGACTTTGGTCTGTGGGCAAAATGGTTTTTTAATATTCCTCAGAATTAGATGGATTTATCTTCCCTGCCAGAGACAATATAAGGCAGTTTCCTTATTGTCTGCTACAGAGCAGATGAAAGTGTGCTTTATAGGCAGATAGATCTGCAGAGGAAGGACTTGGCTTACGAGTCAAAAAACTTACTCTAATTCCTACTGGAAGACAAGTGTGATAGGTGGAGAGAAGAACCAGGATAAATTTCTTCTTATGGAGCAAATGGGGAGACTTGGTGTTTCTACCTAAAAATAGTTACCATTTATTAAGTCCTATACTACGTATTACATGTACAAAGTCCATTTAGTTATCATAATGCTCTATAAGTATCATTACCTACATGCTACTCATTTGGAAACTAATGGAGACAATGAAAGTCATCCAACTTTTTTTCCCTTAACCTCTTTCCTGCTTAAGCCTACTCTATCCATTGTCTCCTTTAATACATAGTATAGTTTAACAGTTAAAAGCAAATGCCCAGGAGTCAGATTTTAGTTTGAAATAACTGCTATAAGCTGTGTGACCTTGGGCATGTTAGTTAATTTTGTTAAGCCTCAGTTTCAAAACCACAAAGTAAGCAACATGGACATGTGTTCTTTCATTTGGCCCCAAGGTGCCTCATCCTAAAATGGAGTTTAAATTGACCCTTTAACTCTTCAATTTATTTCTCCTTTACTAAAACATTTACTTTAGTATAACTTAATTGTCTCAGCTTCCTCTTTCCTACCCATTTCTTAACTTTTTATAGTCAGGCTTCCATTCCTACCACCGTTCTCCCTAGTTAGCTAGTTTGTAGCTGATATCCAGAAATCTAAATTACTACATTCAAAGGCCTTTCTTTCCTAATTCCTCATCTCCTCCTTTTGTAATTACCACTGTCTTTGAATTCATCTCTGCTGTTTTCTTTAATATTGTATTTCTTCCTACTCTTGAAACTTGGGTTTCAAGTGTTATCTTAACAGTCCTCTTTCTGTATATTTGGAAAGCTTCTTCTTGACCATAACCTTTCTGAATGATTCTCAGACTTGTGTTTTTGAGCCGCTAGACATTTATATCCAGATAGGATCTGAGTCTTTCTCACACACTGAGCCCAACATGTTTAGGACAAAACTGTTTTTTCCCCAGAATTTATTTTTGCCTGATTTTTCTTTATTAAGAGATTTCTTATTTCCGTGCCTTTCTAGAGAAAGGGTCATTTTCATTCTTCCATACTCCATTTATCAGTGTGCTAAGTCATCTGTATCTAGGAGTGTTTTTTATCTTCAGCTTTTCCCTCTTATTTCTAATGTACTTACTGTACCAAACTCAAATTATTTCTAGGCTAAAACAATGAGGATATTATTTAATATTCTTATTCAGGATGATTCTTTTAAAACTATAGTTTTGACAACATCCCTTTCTTCTTCAGGAATCTTCGGTGGCTTCTCATTGCCTATTGAAGAGAGTTCAAGCTATTCATTAGGGCATTTAAGACTTCCTGTTCTTCTCATGGCTTTATCTACTCCTGTTTCTGTGCTCCTATCCAATGTTTGTTCATTTAGTCAATGAATAATTATGTACCCCATATTGTTTCATCACTGAAGATACAATAGTGATCCAAACTCCCTGCTTCCTTGAAATTTACATTTCAGAGGGAACACAGAAGATAAATATATAATATACTGTTATGTATTAAGATGTATTATAAAAAGAAAAAAGAATAAGAGAAAGGAGATACTGTTTGAGATATAATAAGTGGAGCCTAGGCTAAGTTTTTGTAACAGACCCCAATAGATACATTTTTCAAAATTCGTTATCTAGATTTTAGTGTAGGGCTTGGCAAATTATGGTTATTGGCCAAGCCTGGCCTGCTGCCTCTTTCATTGTAAATAAAGTTTAACTGGAACACAGCCATACCTATTTCCTATTTGTTGTGTTATGCTTTCACACTATAGTGGCAGAGTTCAGTAGTTGTGACAGACATCCAATGGCTCACAAAGTGTAAAATGCTGTCTGGCCTTTCAGATGGCTTATATTTTAGTGGTATAGTTATGATGATATACCAAGTTATTTAGGGAATTGGATTCCTTCCTCTCCTTGTGTAATCACTTAGGATATTGTCTTCATCTATATGAAGCTTGTTCTTTTTTTTTTTTTTTAAGATTTTATTTATTTATTCATGAGAGACACAGAGAGAAAAGCAGAAACTTAGGCAGAGGGAGAAGAAGGCTTCCTGCTGGGATCATGACCTGAGCTGAAGGCAGATACTCAACCATTGAGCCACTCTGACACTCCATGAAGCTTGCTCTTAAGGGAGGAAATAGAGTTCAGGAAAGCTTGACACATTTTCACTCACATTCCTTTGGACAGTTCTTAGTCACATATAGCCACATATAGCTGAAAGGAAAATTGGCTATGTGCCCAACTAAAACTCAGGGTGGTGGGTTTGGGGGCATAAGGTAATAATATTTACCCAACTATTAGTCTCTGACAATGTGTGAAAGTAGTATTTTGAACAGGGTAGTCAAAAAAATTCTGGAATTTCAACAGAAATCTAAAATGAATAAGGGAAATCATATAAATCACTGGAAAAGGAATTTTTTGGAAAGAAGAAATAAAAGAAATTTTACACTCAAATGGGCCATTGCTTCCTGTTTTTAATCTTTTTTCCCCCATGTAACTTTATTAAAAAGCAAGCTATATGGAAGTGTCTGGCACATAAATGGTCAAGTATTGCTTTATACTATTTCCCAAACTACTCTCTTTTGATTCTATCCTTCCCTCTTTGAAGTTCCTCGCTAAGTCTTTAAGGCAAGACAGCTAATAATTCTTTCTCTTTCATGAAATCTCAGGTTACTTCACTTCTCTAGCACTATGTAACTGTTCTGTGTCAATTATTAATATCTTTTATGTTAATTTCTTATATTAAGGTGTTATTTTATTCTAGATTTCTTGAAGGCAGAAATTTACAGTGTTTATTAAACTAGATTGTCATTTATTCTAGAAAAATAATTGAACACTTCATGCTGGTGCTCTCCAGAATAAGTATAAAGTAATAAGTGTCACTTGATATGTGAATATCATTCACAAGTAAATGGGCAAACCGGATATATTTTCTTCTTTGTTGTAGGTAAATACTGCAACAAATGTGGCTGACTTGAACTCAGTAGTAAATGAATGCTATAACTACCTAGAGCTTATTGGATGTCTAAGAATTATAACATCATTAAGTGATAAATATAGGTTGGCTGAAGACATACTGGTTTACCATGTAATTAAGAGAGTCCAAGCACCCTTTGAAAGGTAATTTGTTTATATGAGATTCTCTCAAATTACATGTTTAAAGTGATTGCCTTATAATGTGAGATATATTTGATAAAAATTTAAGTGCTTTTTAACATAATGCTTTTTTTTTAAATTAATTTATTTATTTATGATAGTCACAGAGAGAGAAAGAGAGAGAGGCAGAGACACAGACAGAGGGAGAAGCAGGCTCCATGCACCGGGAGCCTGACGTGGGATTCGATCCCGGATCTCCAGGATCGCGCCCTGGGCCAAAGGCAGGCGCCAAACCGCTGCACCGCCCAGGGATCCCCATAACGCTTTTTTTTTTAACATAACGCGTTAAAACTAATGTCTTAAGGATGATTACCGTTCTAACCATTTTATATGGAATTGTGCACATGTGTGATGCTTGGGTAGGAAAAGTAATCCTTATCTTAACTTAGTTACTTTTCTAAATCAAAACAATTTTAAAATTCTTAGCATGTAAACCAATTATTCCATTTCTACTCGTGCATTTAATAACTATTTATTGAGAAAAAAATAATGTTATTGAGGACCTGTTATCTGCTAGGTAATACATACTAAGCATTCTTTAATTAACAAGGTAGATAAGAGTCTTTCTCTTCATTAGCTGAGAACACTGATCTTTAAACTTTTTGTTCTAGTAATCCTTAAAAGTTGTTTAAAAATATACATTTGTTCTCACATTTTTTATTTTTTTAATAATATAAAATGTATATGAGAGTAGGCAGAATGGTACACTATGCAATTACCACATAGATCTATAATTATTAGTCAACCTATGGCCAGTCTTCATCTATCCTACCTTTATTATTGACTCCAGGATTATTTTCTTTTTAAATTTTTTTAAAAGATTTATTTATCTTAGGGAGAGAGCATGTGCAAGCACTAGTAAGGGGAGGGGCAGAGGGATAGAATCCTTAAGCAGACTCTCCGCTGAGTGTGGACCCCCCACATAGGGTTCAGTCCCACAACTCATGAGATCATGACTTGAGCCAAAACCAAAGAATTGGCTGCTTAACCCACTTGATCACTTAGGCACTCTGACTCCAGGATTATTTTCAAGCAAATTCTAGACATAATACCATCTCAGAAGTGATCATTTTGGGATCCCTGGGTGGCGCAGCGGTTTGGCGCCTGCCTTTGGCCCAGGGCCCGATCCTGGAGACCCGGGATCGAATCCCACATCAGGCTCCTGGTACATGGAGCCTGCTTCTCCCTCTGCCTGTGTCTCTTCCTCTCTCTCTCTCTCTCTCTGTGTGACTATCATAAATAAATAAAAATTAAAAAAAAAAAGAAGTGATCAATTTTTAAAAAGATTTCAGTATCATTAACTCATAGATTTAAATATATTTGATGTGTTCTCAGACATTATACTTAACTAACCTTACTGAAAGTTCTCATTGTCTCCATGTTTGGTCATTGCAAATCTTTTTATGTTGTTTTCTTTTGAGTTCTTTTGATGTTGACCTTTTCTTGGTATACGGTAAAGTATTTTAGGCTCAATTTGTGCATTTTGGACTAAAGAACTTTTGTTTTTTCTTGAATGGGGAATGGTATTTCAAAACAACAATCTGGATGCTAGGGATGCTTATTTTTGCCAGATTGGTCATTGTTTCTAGGCCCTTTCAGTAGACTTGAACTAGGACCTATAGGGTTTTTTTGGTTTGTTTCTGGCTTCAGTTTTTTAAGGTAAAATACATCTTGAGTTTTACTGATACTTCAAATTCACTACTAAAAGATTTTTAACTTTTTCTTTGTCCCCTGTTGAGAATCTCCATTATCAACTTAAAACAACACAGGAGAATTTAAGAGTATGAAATAATTACGCACTTGATTTATTCTATGTTTCATAAACAGTAGTCTCAAATAATATTGCCAAAATTATCACCAATAACATTATTATTGAAAACAGTTTAACATTTTTCTAGAGTTGTATAGCCAAATTACTGTATTTTAAAGACATTTGGAATATTTATAAACGTTTTCATTTTTTATTTCATTTTTAGTGATTTTTAAAAATTTTGTTTTATTTTAAAATTCTGTAAAATTTTGCATGGTTCCAAAGCCAAAGCTGTAATAAAAGTATATTGAAAGAACTCTGCTCTATGATACAAGTTGTTTTCAAAGAAGTATAGCTTTCATCCTTAACACATCTACTTTTCATCCCCCTACAAAGTCATCATTTTAGTGGCTTTTATTGTTGGTCTTTGTATTATTTGTGGGGTTTTTTTTTAATGATAGCAGATAAATATATATAGGCATGTGTACTAATTTCTTTTATTAAGAAATTGTGCTTACACAATAGTAACATACCAACATTTTTTTCTAGTCATTTTTTAAAATTTGCAATATATATTGGAGATCACTCCATAGTAGTAAATACTTCTATTTTTAGAATCTGTATCACATGGCCTTTTTCCTCTGTGTGTGACATTTGTCATTGAATTTTGGGCCAGCCCAAGTAATCTGGATAGGGTGATCTCAAGATCTTTAATTATATCTGCTTAGACCCTTTTTTCCAAATAAGATTGCGTTCATAGGTTTCAGGGAAGAGGATGTAGACTTATTGGCAGGAGGTGGGGTGGGGGGTTGGGACTCCATACAGTCTATCTCAGGATGAATGACAGTATTGGAATCTATTTCTGGGACATGCCTAGAGCTGCAGCATGAAAATGAGTTTGGGAATTCCCACACCTGGTAAAATAGTTCCTCTGCAGGTGGTTTGTAATAGGGTGGTGAAGAAGTGAGTAGATAAAATGGATTTCAGATAAGGAAATTCATAGGACTTGGTAATAAGAAATGGAAGAGAAAGTAGTTGAGGACTTTTAAAAAGATTTAGCTATACTTATTTGATGGATAATGGAGGCATATACGATCAGTTATGGTTTAGATTTTAGTAATAAGGTGATTAACTTTCTTTAGCACTTAATAAGTTTGGGTGTTTTGAACATTGTACCCATTAGGCTGTTGGATATATTTCTGGACTAGAGATAATAGATTTTATCGTGATGAACGTATACCTGCTAAATACAGCCATGGGAGAGAATAAGGGAGATGGGAAATTGGCCTTGTTACAGATCCATGAGGCACAAACAGCAACATTTTAAGGCAAAAAAAAAGAAAGAATAAGCCTTATAAGAGACGTAAAAGATCGGGCCAGAGAAATAAGAGAAACCAGGAAGACTGATGCCAAAGAAGGAAATCATTCATAACTTAACGGCAATTTTTCCTCAAGAGTGGAATAAAAGTGAATAGGAAATTAGCAAATGAAGACAGTGGCGACAAGTCTTTCAAATAGCTTTTCTCAAAGGAAAACATGGAATGAAATGAAATTTCTTTTTCTATTTAAAGATTGGAAAGATAAGCACATTTTTGTGCTCTTGAGAAAGCCAATAGAAGGTGATAAATCTGTAGCAGGGTACCTGAGGAAGTTGGTAGGGGATCCAGAGCCATAGGTAGGACTTAGTCACTCTGCTAGACAAAAATATACCTCCATTCGTTCCTAACAAGTAAAAATGTGCATTTTAAAAAATTTACTTGTTATTTGTATTTTGTAAATTATCCATTCATATTATGCTAATTTCCTATTGTTCTTTTAGAAAAATGATTTGTATTTCATATATTAGAGAAATTAGCTTTCTGTCATGTATATTAAAATATATTCCCACTTTGTTTTGTCTTTGGTAATTTTTTTTAGCAGTACATAAGTTTAATTTTTTTATGCTTAACATTTTATTTATTGCTCTTCTTGGCAATTTCTAGGAAACTTCATTTTCATACTAAAACTAGCTTTGAAGAGTAAAAATACTTCATAGTGTACTTTTTTCGTCTCAAAAATTGTTAGCTAATTTTACTTTTATTTTTTATTGTTTGAATTTTAAAACTTTTATAAAATCAAATAATGTAGGCAGATAAAATTAATTTATATAATATACTTGTTTGTTATTGATTTAAAAGTATATCATATATATCTCTTATATATTTCCTTGTATCTAATATATGTGGTAGTAAATTAACTAGAAATGTTAATTTGTAACTTTAATACCAAACGTGTATAAATGTTGACTTCTTGTTTATTTTCTCTTAAGTTTTAAGCAGGGTCTGAAAACTCTTGGTGTTTTGGAGAAAATTCAGACTTACCCAGAAGCATTTTATAGCATCTTCTGTCATAAACCTGAGAATCTTTCTGCAAAAGTCCTTAGTGATCTTTTTACAGTATGCACATTATCTGATGTCCAGGCTTTGGGGTTTTGGAACAGTTATTTACAGGCTGTTGAGGGTATGTGGATGTTTTATTTTTACTTAACTGTCGTGGAACATTTATTTCAGTATATTAATCTATTTATTTGAGTTTTGTTTTTTGGTAATGAGACTTTCATCTGCTAACTCTACATTTATAAAATTTATTTCAAGACAAGTGTATATGACTGAGTTCAAAGTGATGAGGAAAGATTACAGAATTCAATTCTGCAATTTGTTTTCCTCTAGATAATTTGAGGTGAAAGGCATTCTTCCTAGAAAACTTTAAATATATGGGTGATTGCCTGCCACAGCATAGAATAATCTTAAAGCTAATTATCATCTATTTCATCTTTTTCAATTTTAAGTTGAATTATTCTTCATCTATTGCTTAGGGCTGTGATGATGAGATTTATAATGGAGCATTAGCTATCTAAAATCGTTCCATTTAATAGAGTGGGAAAAGATTTAACCTTGAATTGAAACTTCGTTTTTAGCTAGTTATTCATTTGTTTTATACTGTTTAGTTTATCACTTTGCATTTGATGAACTAGCGTATCAAATAGTGATGACCTAGAAATGGCTTAAAATTATTTTTACTATCATGCCCACTGACCTCTTGGATTATATGATAATTTTATCTTAGAGAAGATATTCAAATATATAATGAGTAGTTCAACTAAATGATTTTCTGAGTTATACTTTGAAGTTCAAATAAACATTTATTGAATGTACTGTTTTCCTGTTACTACACTTGACCTGGTGATTTATTTTGCCCAAGATAGATGTGAGAGTCTCTTAAATATTCCCTGTCTAGTTGGGAAACAATCTATGATGATAGTAATATATATAATACAGATTGTCTTTTTTGGTAAACTTTTCAGATGGTAAATCTGCAATAACAATGGAAGACCTTCTTATTTTTGCAACTGGTTGCAATTCCATTCCACCTGCGGGATTTAAACCCACTCCTTCAATTGAGTGCCTTCATATGGATTTTCCTATTGGAAACAAGTGTAATAACTGTTTAGCTCTTCCAATCACCAATACGTATCAAGAATTTCAAGAAAATATGGACTTTGCCATAAGAAACACTCTAAGACTAGAAAAGGAAGAAAGTTCTCATTACTTTGGACATTAAAATGTTTTGAACAAAGACATGCTTCTTTAAAAGCTGCTACTGATATTTTTTATTTCGGAAATCTGTCAATTTTTAAACAAACTTGTCAGCTTCTTGGCCCAATAAAATATATGATATGAACATAAAAGAATGTTTTGGCCATTTAAGCTAGAAAAATTTTTGTTAACATGTGCCAGTCAAAGTTGATGGTATTTTTCTATTAATATACATGTGTCATAAACTGTAATATAGTTTTAAGACAGCTTTACAGACTTTTTTCAAGTATAATAGCATGATATATATATATATATGTATATGTATATATACACAAGAAAAAAACCTTATATTCACTGTTTCTCCAAATTAGGATTAGCTATACGATGCCACAATGATTTTTCTAGTTTTATGTAATCTTTGAGTTATTTCTTATTTTACTTTAAAGCATTAAATAGAAAAGCTAATTGATAAATCCTGTTATATGAATCAAAGGCATATATTCTGGAGCATGTGTTATAAGCATTTTTTCGAGAATGGCACTAAATTGGTTAAAAATGTTTTTAAATTACTGGTTTATATTAAAACAGATCCACACTGCAATTAGATTATGCCTAATAGGAAGTATTATATGAGAAAGCAGAATTGCACAAATATTCTAGAACCTACGGACATTCCATAGTCTTCAGAACACTTCCAAGGTGGAAAAATAGTTGAAAATACCTAAAAAAGTGTTTAAAGGCTTGGCTGTAAGCATAGGATTTTTTTTCTCTGTATCCCATGTGTGGTATTAAACCACATTATGTCTGATCCAGCATCATTTGGGGTGTCTCAGTTAACTCTGTGGATTGCCTTTTGGTAGGTTTTGAGTATTTGACAGTTATTTATTATCTAGTTGGTTGTATGATAGGTAAACTGGTACCATTGCATTATATAGTTGCCTTCTTTGCTCTTGAAAGATATGTTATTGTATAAGCAATGTAGAAATACGTAAGAGAAATACAGAATGAAAAACTCACTCTAATCTCACCGTGCAGAATTACCTACCGTATTTCATTGTATCTTACTATAAACCACCTTTCCTTTCCTTTTAAGCTTTATTAATGTTACTAAAAGTCAAAGAATACCTAAAAGTAACAAGAAATCATGTAATAATGATTTGAAGATATATAGTCCTATAGTCATGTCCCCATGTTTATACTCTTGCAAAAGAAGAAAGTGGAAGTTTTATGTTCCTAATCTATTATCAAATATAAATGAGTTTTCCACCAAAGTAAATTTAAATTGGATGAGAGGTAAATCATTATGAGAAGTTGGACTTAACCACATTTTTTTTTTACTTATATACAAAGCAGGTTATCAACTATAATCATAATCTCATCCTCTTTAAGACATCTTTAAATCATTGAAATTTTCAAAGAAAAACAACATAATACTGGTGATATATCTCCTAATACCAAAGGAAAACTAAAACATAATCCTGGTATAATTTTCTTTGTTACATATATTGACAGACCCAGCAAATTAAAGTTTCATTTTAACATGAAATTTTAAAGAACATTATACAAGGCATTTCTTTGTCTTGTCTTGAATTGTTAGATCATCAAAAGTAATTAAAAGATTAAGAATTTTGAATATCTAATGTAAACTTCAAATATGCCATACAGCTTTTATTCCAAATGTGTTGATAAATTGGATATTTTTCAGTTATACCTAGTTTTTATAAAATTTAAAAAGCCATTAAACCAATAGAAACCAAAAAATTAAAACTATTTTCTGGTCCTTTGTAGTTTTAATTTTTCCTACAGTGGTAATTAAAACTAATGAACATTCACACAGTTGTGGGTGGGGGGTGGTAGGGAAGCAATGTGCTTGGGTTGGCTATAATTAAAAACAGTTATTTCCGTTCTTCATATCATTATTTTATGTGTAGACGGGGCCTTCAGGATAAGGTCTGATGTAAATAATAATTTAGGGTATTGACATTTTAAAGTGAAGCATACTCATTACAAAGCATTTTCTAGGTTGTTTTTTTTTTAATCTTTTTTTTATATTTATCTATGATAATCATACACAGAGAGAGAGAGAGAGGCAGAGACACAGGCAGAGGGAGAAGCAGGCTCCATGCACCAGGAGCCCGACGTGGGATTCGATCCCGGGTCTCCAGGATCGCGCCCTGGGCCAAAGGCAGGCGCCAAACCGCTGCGCCACCCAGGGATCCCGCATTTTCTAGGTTTAAGGATGTTTCCATTAGCTCGATTTTTAGGTTAGTCTGTATAGTAAAGGAGAATCCTATAGGTTATTTATTTTCTGCAATGTTACTATGTCAAATGGTTAATATTGTGATATTCTTTTTCTTTTTTTTTGTGATATTCTTTTTCTATTCATTGTTCTAGCCAATGCACAACTCTTATTGACATTGTTAAAGTAATTATGCTATAAAGTCTTATAAATGTATTATTTGTATTTCTTAACTATTTCAATCCTCTAAATGCCATATATTTCAAGTTGGTTTTCTATTGCTCTCTACTGAGGAAAACCATAAAGTCATCTATTGTATATCTACTGTTAATTTTTGATTAGGTTTAAATTCATTGTTTTTAGACACTTTTTAAACCTTTTGGTATGGGAACTTCATTTTAAGGCCTTTTATACAATTCTTTACTATTCTTATGCTTCATCATTTTAATGCTTTAGTATTTAAGGTTAAAATTTCTTTAAAATGTCTCATCAGAAGCTGGGTTATGATTTTATACTTTATAATATTTAATTTCCATATTATGAATAAGCCATTATTTGGGTCAAGTAAAAAGCCTTCATTTGATTACTAACCTGAGTAAATCAATCAAATCACTTTGGCTTCTACTATATGCCACAACTTTTAATAATTTTTTCCTAAATTTATGGAAGCTATTGGAACTTTTGTATTCCATGCTGAATGCTAAGTAAAGGAGATAATAATAATAGGTAAGTTTTCTCTGTGACTTTGCCTTTAGTATTTAGTCATTATAAGAAAATGATTAGAACAAAATTTTATTTTATGATATGTAATTCTTTTATATAGGGATTATCACATTCTTCTAGTTTTACAATAAGCTATTAAACTAGGTTTTATGCTTTAAGTAATGCAATACAAAGTTTTATGCATTCAAAGTAATGCAACACAAAGTAAAGAACACATTGAATAATGGATTACCTGAATGTATATGTAATTTAGAAAAATTTGGATTGTTTTGAAAAGACCCAATTTTCAGGTTCTCATTTTGACTGTTATCGTTTCCAATTGCCAAACATATTCCAATACCTACTGTATGCCAGGTATTTTGCTAGGTGATAGTTGATGTGGCAGCCTATTCCCCCTCCCCTTTTTAAACAATTTCAGATGTAACCAGAAAACATGATACTTATAATGACGTTTCCTAAATAAATATGTTCATGCTACTAAATGTGAAGTGTTTACATGACCTAAATTAAATAACTTACATGACCTAAATTAAATAACACGTTAGGATTTATTGAAGTTAAGATTCTGACAATACTAAATAGATAAAATATCTTTTTCATATTTGAGAGATCCTATAAGAGTTGTTGGCTGACACCTGAGTACCTCTCTTGAATGAGCCTTTCTGAGGCATTCTGTGTTAAACTATTCCCTATTGGAAACGAATAAATTATTTAAATCAAAAATCAGGGTAAGTGGGGCCCGTTAGTTAGAAGTCTACACATTAACTATCTGAAGCCATAGTTTGATTCTTCCTGATTCTAAGAGCGCATAACAAATTCTTTCTCAGTCATGGCCTTACTGGAGTTGTCTACTGCCACCATTTTGTGGGGTGTTTGTTTTTTATATGTCTTGTGCCCACCCCGTGTGCACTCCTTGGTCTGGACAGTTTATCATTTCATACATAGATACTGTATATAAATGGTAAAAATTGGCTTAATGTTTTAGATTAATATAAGTTATAGTTTTGGGAAGAAATTTGTGATAGAACTGAAATGGTTAGCTAATTGATTTACATTTGAAAGTGAAAGTACCCAGATGAACAAGAATCTGCTCTCAGATGTTGGAAAATGGGAAAGTGTATATTTTACATTCCATGAAGACAGTAAAGTAGAACTTTCCCCTAGGGCAGGAGTTGTCATTTCTGTTTCATTGCAGTACACCTAGATCATTGGTGATTCCTTAAAAATACTTGATCAAAATAACACTGAAAAGAACAACAAATATTCCAATAGTAAATTTCTTGGTGAATATGCCAATTAGCTGTAAAAATGCACGGATAGAATTCTTAAAGGTAAAAGTTAATAACTTTATCAACCTCCCTATTTCCCCCCCCCACCCCCACCCATCAGTCCCTAGAGGCCACTTTTTTTGTTTTCATGAATTAGACTTTTTTTTTTTTTTAGGTCCTACATACATAGTTCATTTGATGCAGGAACAACCTCTTTCAGCTTTAAGATACAAGGTCTGAGACCTAATATGTAACATGGTGACTACAGGTGATAACTGTACTGTATAATTGCAATTTGCTAATAGATTTTAAATGTTTTCCACCAAAACGAAGATAAATATGTGAGGTAATGGATGTGCTAACTAACTACATGGGGGAAACCTTTTCACAAAAGTGTTATATACATCTAGCAAATCATCACGTCGTAACTTTACGTTCCAAATTTTGTCAGTTCTACCTCCATAAAGTCGAAAAACTTTTTTAAATTAAAATAACTAAAATTAGTTATCAATAGCAGATACGTCTTGTGATCATACAGCTTCACCTGTACATTAGAATACCAGCTGTGTCTGCTATCCTCCCCCACCCGTTAGGTGGATTTTGCAGTTACTTGAAGGAAAATAGGTATCAGTTTGCCGTTTTGCACCTTTCTAGCTCCTGTGTTCATGTAGGCAAAACATTACCATAAAACTAGACCATTTTGCCTAACAGATGGGATTGAAATATCTGCCAGATTAGAGCAATGCTCCAAAACCGCCTGTTTCCCGGAAAGGGGGGGGCAAAGGGGAGACTTCTCTTGCTGCTCGGGGAAACCGAGAAATGAGCTCGCATTGAGACGCCTACTTTGTTCCTGGAGCGTCATTTACTTTAGTCCAGTGATCCTGAAACCCCCCTAGAGCAGTCTCAACATCTAAGACCTCTGAAAACGACCAGTTTGGTATTTATTACAAACACCACGCCCCTCCCCAAGAGTTCGGCTTAAAGCAGCTGCCATTTGGGAAGCTGTGGCTTCATTAGATAGGATAACAACCCTGTTTCCCAGCTGGAAAGCAAACCCTACAAGGTGCTCGGGTGTGAATCCCCGGGGTCTCCCAGTCCTGGGGAGAGCGGAAGCAGCCGCGATCCGGCCCCCGAGAGCCTCCCTCGGCCCCGCCCCTTGGCCTTTGCTTCCGGGGCAGTCGGGCGGCCACGTAATCGGGCTGTGCTCGCCAACCGGGCAGTGGATGGTGGGAGTCAAGATGGCGGCGCCTGCAGCGGCTAGTATTCGAGACAGACAGACCGGTACGATCTATTCCCTTCTCCCAGCGGTTTTATGCCTGCAGTGGGGACATCTTTCTTTGCCTGTCGCCCTGCCTCGGTCGCGGTGCGTGCAGCTTGGAGACGGCCTTCCGGAGGCTCATTCCAGGCCCTAGAGCATCGAGAGCCCCTCCCCTTTTGAGTTTTTAGGGAAGAGATGCCGGTGGCTTGAGAACTCGGCCCCTCTTACGTGGTTCAGAAGAAGGGGCTTCAAGGTGGGCAGTTTGCTACAGCCCTGCTCTTGCCCCTTTTCTACTGGGCCTTAGAAGGCCATCGCAAAAAGATCTGGCTGCTGGCACTTCTCCCCCTCTCTGTTGCTACCCATGAAGCCTCCGGGTTGGTTTCTGTGCAGGATTCAGTTCTCTGTTAGTTTTAATGTTGGGAGTTTTCCGTTTTAACGCTTCCTCCACAATTACAAAATTTAGGTATTCTTTCTGAGCAGCTTGCGTTCTGCCATTCCTCTTTGGGCCAGTCTTTTGGGGGTACCTGAGTAGAAATGCCTAGTGGTAAAGATTTCCCTCTTTAGTTCGCTGGAATGGAATTGAAGAATAGCCAAAAAACAATGGATTAGTAGCTTTGTCATTTTAACCGTTTGACAGATTAGCATTTTAAGACTTTTAGTTTCATCCTCGATAGAGCAGTTATATAGCTTTCATTTGTACAGTGAAATGTTTTTTAAAAGTACAGATTTTTTCCCTTAAGCTTCGATACTTTTTCCGTCTTAGATATTTTGTTGTTCCTTATTTTTTGTAAACTTCTGATAAACATGGTTTATACCTGTTAGCTCCAAACCAACTAGCTAATTGTCCTGGAAGTTGGCAAGCTGTTCGTTCTGAGGAGCTAATAGAATTTGTGAATTGTCCCTTGTGTTATGTTCTTTTGCATGTTAATCTGAATTGGAAAATAAATGGTTACAATTGATATGGTTTACAGGAGGGATTTTGGTTGTGCTTGATTCCTTCCTTTAGAATTCAGAGAAAAAATTAATAGACTTTAATCTAGTAACAACAGTGAATTTGGAATTGTGTTCTGCTTTTCCCATTAGATCATTTAGTATAAGCTATCAGATGAAGTTAGGCATAATTTAAGTAAGATTTGGGGAATAACTGCCACATATTTTATATCTAAGCAAGTAGAAGCCCCACTTGTCTTTGCAGTATGGTTCTGACAGCTTAATGAAGCTCAGTGAACTAGGTCATACTACATATTAAAACAACATAACAAGGACAGCTTAACCAATACAAAGGAGACTTTCCAAAAAAATGGAACTTGTATGGTAGTAATTTTTATATGAAGAAACTTTTTGGAATATTAAAATCTAGTATAATTTTGATTTCTGTGAAAATAAACCATTATAGTGAGATTTCACATTATAACTAGATAGTTGATGCCACATTAATCATTTACCAAATTGATACTCTAGTTGAGTTCTCTTATTTTCAGAGAAAGGTAAAACCCCATATGTGTTATAGTAGCAGAAGTAAACATTTCCCTGATGTTCCCCATATTCCCTGATGCATAAGAATATCCTGGGAAGTAGCTCAAAATCAATTCTCAAATATTCTAGATACAGGACACTGTGATACAGAGGAATTTGCAGTCTACTTGGGGAGAGAATAGCTGATACTGAGCATTTACTATTGCTAGGCATTGTTGTAAGTGATTTTACCGGTATTATTTTGTAGATGAGGAAACTGAGGTATAGAGAGGGTAACTAGCATGCCTGTTTTTTGCTTTGCCTGCTTGAAGAATATTTGTCTTTTAAAGGTCACCTTAAAAGTCATCTTGTTTGTGAAACTTTCCTGAAACACTGCCCTCCTTATTCTCACCTTTAGTTCAACTGGCAAAGTCCTGTGTTACCATAGTTTTTCATGCATGCCTCCTCTTTGGTGGTTCTTGTTCACCATCCCCACTTCTCAACATTGGAGAGCCACACATCAACTGCTTTCTCTCTTGCAGTGATCTCATGTGGCCTCTTGGCTTTAGGTACTATATTTATATTTATATATAAATACATATAACAAAGTACCGGGGACTCCAGGGGAGCTCCAGTGCTGGACACTCACAGGCGTTCAAGCAGAATTACTTTGAAGGCTACGCTAGTGTTTGATTTTTAATAGTTTTTTTTCAATCACCGACTTACTGATCTAGTTTTCCGTATATTTGGGTAATTATCAAGTAATCTGAAACATTTGGCTAGAATATACAACACTTTTGGCCTAAAAATTATCATCAGTTGCCACAGTAATTCTTACACTGTAACCAAAGACCAGTTTTTAAAAGGAAACACCTTTCCACAAACCTATTCCTGGGTTATTTTTCATACTACTTTTTCTGTCTTACCTGGAAATAATTTACAAAAATAACTTCCTGAAATTTGCACTATATATATATATATAGCATATATATATATATATATATATGCTGTATTATGCTAGTATACTAGGACAGAGTTGCCAGTTAGCGGATATGGGTGGATAGAGTTCCTCTGAACTCTCAGATTTGATCTAAGCAATTAGATCAGCTCTTAGTTATTTGATCACCATGTCAACTCCATCCTTGTAGATAGTTGCTCAGGTCAAAGCTTTTAAGGTTTCTTCACTTCTCTTTTTCATATCCCATATCAGACCTGTGAGTAAATCTTATCAGTTCTACTCTGAAAATATATCCACAATATGACTGTTGTTACTGTTATCACACAGGTCCACAATACTATGAATTTTTGCAGTGACCTCTTATTTAGTCTCCTTGCTTTTATATTCTTGTTCTTCATTTTTCTTCACACAGTACCAAAGTGTCAATACATATTTGTCACCTTTTGCTCCGAATTCTCCAGCAGCTTCCCATTTCAATCATGGTATAAGCCAAAATAATCTTACAGTGGTCGACAAGGCCCTATATGATCTGCTCCCCCTTAACTTTCTGACCTCACTTCCCTCTTA